TTACTGAAGTTCAGCATGTCCCTCACAAATCTTTATAATTATTCTAAGACAGCAGCGCCCTCCAGCCTGATCCATGATTATCTTAAGCTCACAATTAGCCAGGTTCTCTCATATGATCCCCTCTGGCAAGATGACTGTAATCATACCATGCTGCCATTCATGTCGGCTTCTCATTATCTAGTCTTTCTCCAGGTCACTGCAGGTCAACAAGCTTAGGCCGTGCCTGATACCTAAAAAAACAGTAGTCTTCAGTCTTCGTTTATAAAGTCAGCCTCCACATTTGTAAGTTTGATTTTTGTGGATGTAATTAAACACAGGTTAAAATTATGTCTAGGAATGTCTCCGGGGCCATTTACGACTTCAACAATTGGGCAAAATTGTCTGTCCTACGAGAGTTTCACCTCACTATAGGGACGGAGCCCACCAGATCTCATCAGACAATGTAAATTAGTGGTTCTCAATCTGTGGGTCCCCAGATGTTTTGGCCTTCAAATCTCAGAACTCCTAACAGCAATCTAAATATCCTTGACAGATGGCCACCCAGTCTCTGTTTACAAGTTTCCAAGGAAGTAGCTTTCACTACACTCCAAAGCAGAGAGTTCCACTACTGAACAGCTCTTACAGTCAGAAATTTATTCGTAAAAAACTTTGAAATTCAATATTACAAGTTTTGTTATTTTGAAGCCAAAGTTAGAATTGGTAAATTTCTACTGACTCTGGCTCCAACTCCACCTAAAATTGCTTCTAACTCCATGTCTCCAACTCTGAATCAGTGACCCCTTTCCATGAGTAACACTGGCTCATCCTATCACTTCAGGAATGATAAGCCACTTGTAGTCACTGTTTGTAGTTGAATTCCAGCCAAAAAATGTCCAGGTGTGAGTGTATTTGGGGAGAGGGAGCAGTCATGTTGACATATGTTTTTGGCACAGGACATCATTTGAAAGAGAGCCAGCATGGTACAGTGGCTTGAGTGCTGGACTCTAGAAAACAGTGTTTCAATCTTTACTTCCCATCAAAACCCACAGAAGGCAAAGGCACCCCTTCAAACAAATTCTGCCAAGAAAACATTTAAATAGATTCACCATAAGTTAGAAATGACTTGAGGGTACACAACAACAGCAAGAACATTGTGCTGATTTCCATCTCAATTTTTGGTAGGACTTAGGGGGCCTTCAGGAGCCACAAAACATACATGATCTTCCCTGATTACTAGACACATGAGTCTACTTCCAATGCTGTGCTCATATGATAGGACCCGTCTCCCTTCTCTTCACTGCAGTCTTCTGTATTGCAATTAGCTGACTCTGGAGACCTTTGAAATTGCTTTTGGGGTTATTAAGGGAGAAGAAGGACAATCCCTCTTCTTGTTCTATTGATTAAGCAGTTCGATTGGTGGAAGCACATCATTGGACCCTGACTACAATAAGTATTATTAACAACCATGCTACTGATTCCTGTGAAATAACAGATTATATGTCTATTTTTATGTACTGTATACATCTTGAATCCTCATCTTGTACCATCATTATGTAGCCAATCATCTGGTTGTTGATTCAACAGGACACATGCTGAATGCTGAATTGTTTAACAGCTTTTTGCTCCCCATGTAATCCTTTCAGTTCTATCAGTCCCTCCATAGAACCCCAGTTGAAATGCAGTATTTTTCCATCTCCAACATCTATGAACTCAAGCCACTAAAACATATTTTCTGTCTGCTGCTAGAACAGACCCATGTCATGCAGAGAAAATAAATCAGGCTCAAGAAAAAGTTCAAAGATACCCAGCAAAGCTGTCATGAATAACAAAATATCATGCCAGGAGCATCCACCTAGTTTTAGTTGTCTCATACTCAATTTTTTAGAAACCTGTCAAACTGTAGTTTCCTACAGCTCAGAAACACTGCCACGTTCCTCTGGCATTTAAAAATAGAGCAGTGTCAAACTTGCTCCCACTATCCTGAGTTGAAAGGGATTTGCATGGAGTCAAAAATTTTGTTTGAACATATATTGACCTTGGCCAAGTCACATAGTCTCATCCCTAACATTTGAGAAGCTCAGATCTAGTTTACTTCCATTAAAACATGGGTGAAGTAGCAAACTTCACCAAGGCTAAAGCGGCAATTCCTAGTCCTTGGTAAGTTTCCAGGAATCTTTTTAAAAGTCCATAACAATTGTACCCAATAAGCACAAATTCAGTACTGGTTCCTGGCACATTGCCGGTCCTTCACACAAGATATTCTGAGAAGTAATGCACCAAAGTGCTAAAGCCTAGCTGACCAGGAGTCTGTTTGATCTAATAACCCTGCAAAATGCAAGACTATGTGTGCCCCAGTACAAGTTGTTCCGGTTACAAATTACATCAAATTTCTACCTCTCTGTTGTGCATGAAGGAGGCACTTGGGGAAATGTCTTGCTGCCGTTTGTTCTGTCAAAAAACAAGATTTACACCACTCATTGCCTTCACACAGGTGATTGTAATAAATATTCTATTGCACTAACATTGCACTACCCTCTCAAGCAACAGCATTGGCAGCTACTAGCATTTCATTAAGCGTTTAGCTCAACAGTTTGTCAGTTCTTTGAAGAGGACTGAAAGGGGAAAGTGGTTCAGGAAATGATTAAACAAATGAGCACTAATATGAGTCCAGCTCATTAAACTCAAGCACCTTTTGGCCTTGAGTACCACATGCAATGTTGGATTCAGCAAAGAGCTCAATCACAGCCTTAGTAAAGTGTGCAGAAAAACTATTTTATCTTAAGACAAAATGTACAATGGCACTTAAAAGACCACATTGTTTGCAACAGCATAAGATTGAGGGCAGGAGTGGGGACTGCACAACCTTCCAAAAATGTTGTTAAACTGTGAGCGCCAGGATGCTTCATCAATAGCTTAACAAGCTATAGTGATGGGATTTGTAATTCAGCAATTCCCATCTTGCTTTAGAGAAGGCGTCTTCAATCTGCGGCCCTCCAGGTGCTTTTGGACTTCAGCTCCCAGAATTCCTGACCAGTGAACAAACTGAGTAAGGCTTCTGGGAGTTGGAGGCCCAAACACCTGGAGGGCCACAGCTTGAAGAGGCCTGCTCTAAAGCAAGGCGGGAATTGTTGAATTACAAAACCCATCACCCTAGCTAGTTTAGCCATTCACACCTGGAGGGCTGCAGGTTGAAGAGACCTGCTTTAGAGCTCACATCAACTAAATGTATCACATTATTGAGCTGGGGAAGGAGTACAGTCATTATTGCAGGTTAAGTTGTAGTGGAAATTAACAACTATGTCAACACCTTAAAATCTTGGCAGTCATTCTTCCATGTTGAAAAGCAGAATCTGCAGCTTCACATCCGTGTGCCATTCTTGATGTGAAGAATGGTTTGCCATTCTATAGCTATGTTTGACACAGGATTATCAGAGGAGGCCCTTCACCAAATAACTCAGGTGCATTACACATCAATGAAGCAAGGAGAGATTTCAGTGCTGTGATGCTCCAATCATGGCATACTCTTCCCATGGAGGTATGACAATCTGGAGTTGCCACCAACTCAAAACCTTGTGTCTATCTGGACTTTTAAGGTCACTAATTGTGTCTGTTTTTAAAAATACTAGATGCATCACCCCCCCTCCCCCAGTGATGACCTTACAACAGTGTTTTTACTACACTGTGTAATTATTTTGAGATCTTGGAATGTTGTGTTTAAAACTGATCCATTAACGATCAGTGGAAAGGTTGCTATCAATTGCTCAAAAAATTGATTAATTCTACTGGGATTATGAGCAGTTTCATCATGCCTTTGTTCCAGCATATGGACCCTCCCTCCATTCAAATTTCTCTGCCATGACCTCAAAGAGCCAATACAATTCCCATTTTCTTGTGTGTCTTTTTGCATGGTAAGCCTGAAGGCAGAGAACTGTCAAATTGGCATATAGCATTTTTTTTGGTTGAAGGGCAGGGTATAAATGTGGTAAATAAGCAAATAACTAATATTTCAAAGAAACAATTGACTTTATGAAGAATAGTATATTGATTTGCTGTGAGTTTTCCAGGCTGTATGGCCATGTTCTAGAATAGTACACTGACTTGCCACTTGGTCTCTAGTCACACATATGGTTACTGTTTCATTCGTTTTGTAGCTTTTAGCTTATTGCCTTCAACCAGGTACTTTCCAGCTGCATTGCACTACAAACCTGTTTTATGGCTGAGGATTGTGATTTGTAGTGGAGCTTGTTTCCAAACTCATCTGAACAAAACTTTACAGGATTAAAAAAAAAGTGTTGAAGACAATTTAGCAAGATCTGCATTGAATAAGTAAACAATGAACAATGTGCTCACTGCCATAGCAGACACTATAAACAATAAGTGAATATAGAAAAGGGTTGGTAATTAACGGGTAGAGAATTCTTAATCAAAAATATTTTGAGTGCTTCTCAGAATCTCCATACCATGTTTCTGAATCAATTAATACTTGCATTCTTTCCCCACTCACACAGAATCAAGAGCTATGGTCAGTAAATATGAATGCTGGAAAACATGTTTAGATGTACAAGGCAGGTTTTCAGTCCTTAGACGCAACCCATCGCTCCGAGTCTCCTCCTCCTCCTTCTCTTGAGAGCCTTCTCTGCACTACTGGATTGATGAATGGTGCCAAATCTTGATTGAAGAAGGTGGTAAATTTAAATTAAATTTAAGCTGTCATTCCCAAGCTCTGAGAGTTGTTAGCCAACACTCCAATGGATCGTCTGCAGAGTGCTTAATCATTGTTGCAGTCCCAGGCAACTATCATTCATATAGTGGGAAATAATATGTGGCAGAAACACTGTGTTTGACTTAAGTGTGAGAGTGGCAGCAGTGAGCTAAAGTTATGGAGTCTTGACCCAAGTTTTGCTAATATCACTCTCCCAAAAATACAGTGCAGGGACAATGAATGTATCTTCTTAAGAATTCCTCAGTCTCCAAATTATATATAGCTGAAGTAAATTAGGTAATCAATATCAAGCAAGAAATAATATGAGGTAATTTAATAATAAGACATATTTTACAGACAGTAATCAAATGCAAAAGAAACATGTTCACTGCTCATATTAGCCTAAAGCAGGAATGAGAAGCTGAGTCCAACAAATCATCATGACAAAGCAGGAGCAATTTCAATGCTGTTTATCCGCAGAACAGTTTGTGGCTGAATGACAACTGAAAGAGAAGACAAAAATATAATTTACACAGTGTCTCTGAGTAGAATTCCCTCATTGTTTAACATCATGTCCACATAATGCAGTGGTCCCAGTCAAGGAGAAATACAGACAAATCTATTTAGTTTTCAGTTCTGTGGCATATACTTCTAAGAAGATTTTTGCAAATGGCACTGAGAAACAAGTCATTATTCAAGAAGGAACGGCTTCATTGAAATCTGATAAAGGCTTGCCTGAATATTTTTTAACATATATAGATTATAAGGCAAGATTTGGAACACTTAGATAAACCAAACTGAAAATAACTGACCAAAAAAGCTGCTTGACAAAAAAAGAGGATGGTATTTGCTTGGATGAAGTTGTTAGAGCCTCACCCTTGTTATTCTAACCTTAACACACAAATACCCCTTTGCTCTTTTTTAATGGACCATACTCCTGTAACACAACGTTTGTATAACAGCAGCCCAAATATAGCCACATCATTCTGCACATTGGAAGAAAAAGGTTTATGTATCGTTATAATCTTACTTCTCTTCCTCTGGAAATGACGCTTGGGACGGAACCGCATATTAACCCTTGGCCAAGATTCTGTCTTTTCAATAACAGTGGCCTCCACGCGGACTAGATCTTTTCTTTACAGGAAAAAAACAGACAAAGGGGGCGATTACATTTTCTTTTAATCAACAAGGAATTTCTTTATGAGACTGAGTTGCAATAATTAAGTTCCCAGAGTGCTAAAACAGAGTGAAATAATAATGACTCTGTACTAAGGGTGGCAATGTGACAGTTAGGGATCACATTCCTGGAAAAAAACTCATAATTGCATTTTTGCTGCATTTGTAGCATTCTCTCGGCAAATTTAGGTCAAAGCGGGGACTTTTTCTGATAGGAAATTAACTTCCTTTTGAAAAATATGCCCCTTTGAGGTCTAAAATAGCATGAAGTATCCACAAGGCATGGCAAAATTGTCCCTGGGGGCTGCATTGCTCAATTCTGTGCATGTCCATACAGGCAGAAACCTCGCTGAGTTCAAAACAATTTCTTCTTCAATGGAGTGTATTCCCTGAGCACAGCAATAGAATTACCATAATCTCAATCCCACTTTCTCAAAACATTTGAGAATCAAAGTTAGAGTCTTTTCCAAAGGATTTAAGAAATTACATTGCAAACTTGAGAAAGAATACACAAGGAACAATTGTGGAATGTGGAATGTTAACAAACTTGCTTTTATTTTTACAATAACCAAAAAGTGTGTGAATCTAGTCTTGTGGGCTCACTGTTTGACAGCAGGGAAAATTCAGAGCAAATACCAGCTTATACCACCTGAGGTGTGATGTGTGCTGTTAACTTTCAGCACATACCAAAGCAACAGGTGGCTCCTATTTTTTTAATGCTTTGAAACAAAGCCCTAAAATGAAAGAACATCCTAAAATGAACATCCTAAAATGAACATCCTAAAATGAAAGAACACGACCTTTATCTTTTGCTTCAGCACAAAATCAAATGTTCTGCCATGAACAGAGTATATGAATCAGTTCATAATGAATTTGGCTTTTGACAGTTTCTTCAAGTGAGACTTTAAACCCTCTCTTGGTCTATGACCGTAATAATACAATTCATTCATTCAGGAAACCCAACATGAAATAAAAGCAGGAAACTGCTGATTCACCTCAGGCTAGTTCAGATAATCCAGTCCTTCTGTGAGAAGGGAAGGATGAGGGAGAGGCAGAAATCTAGACCACCTCAATAATATACATGAATAATCTGGCATTCAGAAATACAAGCAATATAATTCTATACATTTCTACTAAGAAGCAAATCACACTAACTTGAACATATTTGAATGTATCAATTAAATTAATATTCCACTAAAAGTGAGATTCACTTTTAGGTAAGTGGGTTTAGGACAGCACTGTAATGATACTTCAGTGCAAGAGGCCGTGCCCTGTAAAATAACAGGCTTTTCATCCCTTCCTTTCCTCTTCAAGCTCTGAAAGAGGTGGAGAAATTCACCAGATCTCCATTCTGCCACCTTCCAACTTAGGCCCCTTCCACATAGCTGAATAAAATCCCACATTTTCTGAACTGGAATATATGGCAATGTGGGCTCGGATAACCCAGTTCAAAGCAGATATTGTGGGATTTTCTGCCTTGATGTTCTGGGTTATATGGCTGTGTGGAAGGGCCCTGAGAAGCAGTGTGTCATGAGAATAAACCTGATTCACCGCTGATTATTCAAAATGTCCTTATACTGTCGTCCCCCTGTATCCATGGATTCCACCGTGGTTTTGTCATTTAATATAAGGGCTACCATCTTTTAAATTTTTTTAAAAAAACCCTAAACTATCAAGGATATTATTTTACTACATCATTGTATATAATAAAACTTGGACATCCACAAATGTTGAGGTCTATGTGGAGTCCTGGAACCAAACCCTAGCAGATTCGTTTAAACTGAATCCCAGAAGAGATAGATCTGGACCCATTCTCCTGTTGCAAGTAAAAAATACCTAAAATCATGGGGAAAATATTTGTTTCTTTGTCATGTGCCTTCAAGTCATTTCTGACTCAAAGCGACCCTAAAGTGAACCAGTAATGGGTATTCTCTAGGCAAGATTGGTGAAAATATACCCTGAATCAATTAACTGAATATTATTTCACCACTATTATGAGAAATAGGCAATCACAGAAATGTGCCAAAATCACAGAGCAAAGCCAAGGTGCAGGAGTCCAAATCAAAATAACAACATTGCACTTCAAGTCCAAGGCTGTTCTGCTTGATGCTGAGAGTTTTCAAAACTGTTTGGTGCAAGAAAATGTCTTGAGGCTGCTGTCAGTAGCAGGTGGATTACACTCTGATCAGACCCTTTCCTCTCCCCACACTTTGCCTCTAAGCACAATCTTACTTTACTTCAACTTGTGCTTCTTACTACAGGACTGTCTGAACACACAACATAGTTGTGAAGGCAATTATCTCTTTCATTCCGCATTTCCTTTTCTCTGTTGTATATCAGTGATTTTTAAAAGATATATTTCCCCGAGACTCTCTGTGCTGTTTCCAGAAAATATCTGTTCTGACAACATCTCAATGCAACTGAATTATTGATTTCTTACCCCAGCAGTGGCTTCCCCAGCAAAGTGAAGTTATTTGCACCAACCAACAATACCTGGAAACAAGGCAACATCAGCCATTACATTACTGTCACAGTATCATCGAACTTTCGCCATGGGACCTGGCAGAAGGGAATGCTCTTTAAATCTACAGTACACTTACTAATCACAAGTTATGATACACTAACACTGAGGATAAATCTCTTTACCAATAAATACACTTTTTTATTTACTCTAAGGGATACATGACAATGGGGGGGGGGGGGGGGGGGGGGGGGGGGGCAGAGCGAACATGCAACCCGTATCTGTTTTCAAAGATTATGCAATTTCATCCACCAAGGTATCATTCTCTAAATATTTTAAAAGGGAAAGGGAAGACTTCCATTTGTGGTTCCATCCCTGACAATTCACAGATCTGCAGCATGTGTTTATTTCTGGGATTCAGAGCAGCTCAGACTTCAAGGAAATAGGTAGCACTCTTGTAAATCCATCCACTTCTCTAACTGTCCAGAGAAGCAGTTTGATGCCGTTAATTCTTATGTAGTGGTTTGTTTTCAAGCCCCAGTTGAATTGTGTTTAGGATTTCTTGGAATCCTAAACATCTAAACTCGGTTTTCTTGTGTTTATCTAAATTCTGGGTTTCCCACCCGCCAGTTTCTTGCAGGCAGTTCATCTGGCTGCTGGATACGGTTGCCAATGAGTACATCTATACTGTAGGATTAATGTGGTTTGAAACCACTTTAATTTTCATGGCTCAATGCTATGGAACCCTGGGATTTGTACTTTCAAAAGATCTTTAGCCTTCTCTATCAAAGAGTGTTGGTATCTCACCAAACCATGAATCCACGATTGAACCATGGCATATTTCTAAAAGGGCAGCCAATATTAGCGGATACTTAAAGACTATGAGGGCCAACTGGCTTGTTGAAGATGGGACAGACTACTACAGAAAGAGCAGGGTGTAATAGATAATACTATTATTGCTCAGGTGAATCAGCTTTAAAATATGAGGACATCAATGAAATCTTTCCAGTTATTATACAGGAACAGAGTGCCAAATGATATGACACTTACCTTTTCCATTCGAATTCTGTCTCCACACTCAGCTGGTATGTGATTTTCAATTAAAATTAAATCTTCATCGGTTACTTTCCATTGTCTGCTGGCAAAGTGCACAACTGCAAACAGCCTCCCATATTGCCCTGTTGCAATTAATTCATTCACTTTTTGCACAATCTCTGCGTTAAAATGAATAAGTTAATTAAAAAGGTGGGAGTTAACAATGTGTGTGGGAGATACCTGCCTCTGATAAACAAACAATCTTCTTATGAAACACCATGCCTCTTTCCTTATCATAGCATCCACATTCTATAATATCCAATCCCAAAATTAAAGTTGTGGTGAGCTTTTTGATATGTTACCCAAAGTTAACCTCCTGGGCAGATATACCTCAGTTAGGGAAGTAGTGGTGTTCCCACACATTACTACTGTAGCAGAAAATGTGGTACCAGGGGCCGAAATATCATGGGAAAAATATGGACAGATTGTACTGTATACTGCAGCCACACTAGTGCAACCTGATATCCAAAGTTTAGGATTTTCCAGTTCTTTTTATGATCCTTCCAATAGCCATGCTGTAAAATAATTTCATTGAAACACAGGACAGGGAACAAAAGCGGGGTGGTCATAAAAGGCTTTGTGAAAAGGAGATATTTCTATCAGAGGCTTTGTTAATTGAGGTATGTCTGTATACTACATAATGGTCACCACTATGGTATTACAGGCTTCATTGTTAAGCATTTCGTTGTTCAAGGCATGCATTCTTTATGAAGCCAAAGCAAACTGAAATGTAACACAAATGTGAAATTCCACACACATGGACACAGTTTTGAAATACATTGCATCATCACATTTTGACAAAAATTGGTAAAGTCTCAAAAAAGCCAAAATGATTTTTTGATAGGCCAAATTTCATTTAGAGGTCACCTGGCCATTTCTAGATCCTATTCAATTGACTTGGTATTATGATTCCCTAAATCAGTGGTTCTCAACCTATGGGTCCCCAGATGTTTTGACCTTCAACTCCTAACAGCTGGTAATCTGGGAGTTGTAGGCCAAAACACCTGGAAACTCACAGGTTGAGAACTTGTGCCCTAAACAGTAAGTGTAGTCTGTACCTCACGCTAGGTAGTGTCTCCAATTCTAGGTTATAGCTCAACAAAATCTGGGTTTTATCACAGCAAAGTCAATTATCCGCTTCTATTTCTAGCAATGACTGGACAGATGTACACATTTACTATTTGAAACCATGAACTGGATACCTACTGAATAAAAGCTAAATTTACTTGTATGTGTTCAAAGCTTACTGTGAGCAGTATAAAGGCAGATATATACAGATCCATCTGTTCCTAAACAAGAAGAGTGCCAGATTTCAGATTAAATATGAGCCACCTTCTGGTGTTCATTAAGCATGCACACGAAAACTAGCTCTGCTCCCTAAAGTTGATATCATTATTGTTGTTGTTGATAATCATCAGCATCAGCTTGATGACCACTTGTCCCTGAGCCCCTTTATTGGGGAAACAGCGAAGGCATACAGTTTTAATCTTTGTTGGTTCTTGGCAGTTCAAACTGCACATCTGCTTGTTCAGGCTTTGATTATTCCATACCTGAATTATTAGAGTAGCCTAATGCTGGGTTTACCTTCTTGCTCTCTTCTCCCCCTTAATTCAGAACAGTGCCATCCAAGTTGTTTTAAGACTCCTTAAATATTCACATGTTTCTACTCCCACAGATCCCTTCACTTGCTATCAATTCAGGTCAGAGCTCATTTTAAACTTTTGATTCTTGTATCTTGAGCCCTGCACTCTAATCTCTTGCAGCACCTAGCAGTTTGTTGAGCATGGTATGCACGTCCTAGGAATTTAAGATCCACGGGCATAGTATTATTGTCTGTTCCACCTATGCACACAGCTCTGTCCAGACCACAAGCCCTTCAAGATCTGGGTCCACATCTGTGAAATGGTCTTCCTTTGGACCTCTTCCTGGTCTCATCTGTAAGGAATTGAAGTTATTCTTTTTTGATTCAACAGATTAAGGTGCTGAATTGTACCTGAAGTTATGAGATGGGTAGTGGCTGGTGAAATTTTGCGGATTGTATGTTTATTTATAATATTAAATTTTATTGTCTTTGATTTTGATTGCATATGCTTAATGTTCCACCCTTGACAGAAAGAGTATTATATATAAATACTAATAACTCTAGTCCCCAGAGCAAGGGTGACAACATTCACTTTTTTGACTGCAGCTATTCAGCATACCTCACCAGTGGCTATGTGGGCTAGGCCTGCTGGGAGTTGCAGCCAAATATGTGCCAGTATTTAGGAAAGGACTAGGAAGCACTGATATGTCTTAATTCCTACTCAGGCACAAGAAAGGAAGAGGTTGTATGCATGTCCAGCTGTCTTCTAGGGACATAGACTACCCAGGTTTCTCTTCTTCAAAGAGGTCACCTATACACACATGCATGAATTTGCCCAAAGTGGTCTTCAAACTAATGCCACTTGCACATCAATGAAAAAGGAATGGCCCAAGGTATAATGGCTGACCCACTTGCTTTTTCATGTGTTCATACTGAATGCCCTGAGAGAAAATTAACAATACTATCATTTATCTTCATTTTGTTTAGTGTATAAAGAAAAATGACCCCTCCCTCTCTCCCCAGAAGACAGCAAAAAGGTGCAATCATAGCCACATCTTTTCAATAGTGTTTACCTCTGTGCTGTTTTGCCTCTTCAATTGGGTCAGGTAGATTGATTTTAGGCCATGGAGGTTCAGTCAAGGAGGTTTTGGGAAGGTGCCTGTGAAAGAACGTGGATCTGTTGTTATATTATAGCCAAGCACTGCAGCCAATATTTCACAATGACTGCACTCAAAAAAGGAAGAGGGTTTTCTCCCTGGATGCCATTAAAAAGAAACCAAAATCTCAAGTGCAAACTTTGGAAACCTTAAGCATGTTTACGATCCAATTTTATTATCTGAAATGACTTTGTTCATGATTTTTCACTTGTGTGATCTGCAACCAGGGAGGTGTTATTTTCTGCTACTGAAGTTTTGTAAGGAAGTGACTTCCCTGTTCCAGTCTGTCTAATCAATTTTACGCTTGCCACGAAAAATTGGGGATTTTATTTATTTGTCATTGAGTTATTTCATTTATATAGTGCCCAGTTAAAAACAAAAACAAAACCTCACTGGACAGGAATATAACTTCAGAGCATAAAACAAAAGAGCTTCATACAAACATTATTAAACCCTTATGAAATCCAAATAGCAGTGTAGTTATTTAAAAATGTCAAATACTATGATGGAGAGAGTGGGTGAAAACTCACATGGTGAGCCACATCTAGCCATGATGACATTTAGGCCCCTTCTACACTGCTATATAATCCAGATTATCAAAGCAGATAATCCGCATTATTGGATTTCAACTGGATTATATGAGCCTACACTGCCATATAATCCAGTTCAAAGCAGATAATCTGGATTTTCTATGGCAGTATAGAAGGGGCCCATATCTGGATTCAAAACACTAACCCCTGAGGATCCCACAGCTCATCCTGCCTTGTTCCCCCAATTATTTCCTTGCTGGATTGGATTCATGAGCCCCAGTAATTATGGAGTCCATTATATGTGGCTGTGTTGGTATGTGGCATCTTTAGGTTTGTATGCATGGCTCCAGTTCTGGCTTCATAGAGAGCTAGGGTGCATCTGCACTCTAGAATTAATGCAGTTTTACTACCAGGACTCCATGCTAAGGAATCATGGAAACTAGTTTTATAAGGTCTTTAGTTTCCTTTGCCAAATAGTGCTCGTGCCTCACTAAATTACGTCCCATGATTCTACAGCATTAAGCCACAGTAATTAAAGTTGCATCAAACTGCATTATTTCTACAGTGTAGAAATATCTATTAGACACAGGTTTAGAACAAGAATACATTTACTGAAAACAATAGAAAAATACATTAAACTCTAACAATTTATTCTTTAGGCTTCCCAATGTCACAGTTAGTTTTCTCTTTGTATTCATATCCAAAACTGTTTCAATCAGCTCCAAATCCTGTCTGTGTCAGCTCAACACTCTCTCGGCTTCAGGCTCAAACCTTGTCTGAATTTCCTCAGAGGCGAGCCTCTACCTTTTGATACGTTCTGTTTCCTTGCAGCTCCTTTTATAGCACCCCTGAATAGTGCTTGGCTGTCTAGAAGCCTGCTTAGTGCCTCCTTCACAGCCACCAGTGAAAGATCAGGAAAGAACTGTTGGTGCTCCAGGTGAAACGGAAAGCAGAAAATGAGACTGGTAGGATAAAATGCAAGCATGAAGACCTGAAACATGTATTCATACAAGCTGCAGTTCTGTATTCATGTATTCATACAAAGGCATTTCCTTTCCAAAAATGACCCAGCTAGCAAAGTCTGCACTGAGGAGCATATTTTCATGAATGCATACATTAAATGGTAAACAAATTTGGAAAGATGCTAACAAAAGCCAATTTACCGTACTTAGCAAATCATTTGAAATCAATGTACAAGAGATAAATTCCAGTTGGTAGATGTGGAATGAGAACACGATGCTACAAAAACATAAATAAAATGTTTAATTAAAAAAGAAACAGGGCTGTGAGAGAGCTGCCACCAAAATAATTCGTTAGCCATGCTGCCATCAAGCGGAGCAGATTGGTTGCATCTGAAGTGGGATGAACATCTGACCCCATCTCTAATGAAGAAGAGCCATAGCTAAGGAATTACTGTACAGAGTGTTGGTACACAGTATCTTCAGGTCAGCCCCTAACATCCCCACTTGGGTAATGAGTCTTCTAAAAACTTGCTTTGACGCCTTGGAAACCTACCAACAGACATAGTGGTCTTTCCATGGATATTTTATTGGCCTTTGTGGGAAAACAATGTTAGGCCTGATAGGCCCTTTGGCCGATCTAGGGTATCTCTCCTAATATTCACAAGACAGGTTTTTTTATCCACTCACGCATACTGGTTACAACAAATATGTCCTGTTATGCATATTCAGAATTAAAAATATATTTAACTGAGAATTTTGATGAGAAATGTGGGATTGGATTTGATTAATGGGTTTGGAACTGCCCTATCCCTGCTGAGTTTCCTGAGGGGGAAAAGACCTTATGATTTAAGGAAGCCTTTAACTATTGTATTTGTCAGGGCTGGGTTGGGTTTTAATGTTTATAATTAGTATATCGAAGAGGTTTATATGGGGGTTGTGGAAATGGGTTTATGAATATGTGATTTAACCATGTTTTAACTTTGTAATATTTGTTTTTATTTCGTTGTAAGTCGCCTTGAGTCTGCTTGCAGAGAAAGGCGGGATAAAAATATCGTAAATAAACAAATAAAAGTACTTCTCTGTAGGAACCTCAAAGAGTCTATAACTGACTATAGCAGTCACTGTAATTAATAGAATTTATATGAATGTTTTTACCAGTGAAACAATGGACTTTAAAACTGGGAATAAACTGCATTTAGGCTCTGGTATTTATGAGCACCGCTATTTGAAAGATTAATATACCAATTCATGTCATGATGCCACAGACAGAAATGAAGCTTGAGCTAACAAGTTTCCATAAAAATAATGAACATTTATTAACTTATTTGCACAAGCTTTGTTCTGAATTACTATTGTCTTCATCTACCATAATTTAATGAATGATGAAAAATTTAGAAAGATATGAAGCAGGTCTCTTCCTCTTGCAGAGAATTTGATTCTTGCTACAGGAAGACATGTCTTTGTGCCAGAGCTTCATACCACTCATCACTCTTCCTTCGAGTTGCTTTGTAGAGTCTAGACAGGAGTTGCTCCAGGATACTGACACCTACCCAGTAATCTTGGTGCCTTGAAAGGCATTGCCTAGCCACCTACCTGGGTTGTTTTGTTCTTCAAGGAGAAAGGAAATGCAACAAAGAACATTTGCACAAGCCAAGTATAACTCCCCTCATTCAAGAAGAATTAGCCTATATGGCCATGCTCAATAGAGAAAAACAGGATGAACTGTTCTAAACGTGGAACATACATTTATGCCCCAATTTAGAATGATAGACTTAGGCAAACAAAAGGTTTTCCATTCTGTACTGAATGGAAAACCAGTATTATGTGATCAAAAATTCTCTTCAAATAATGAGTAGCTCATATTATATAAAGTGGATACACTGACACATTATTTTTTCATGTTCCCAAGGGTGAATAGAGAGTGAGAGGTGGTCAGTATGAAAAAAATACTGCCCTACAACTAAAAGCCTCTCTCTAGCACCCAGCCAGCCCAGATATGAGCACAACTGACTCATGCTCACTTCTGGGGGAAAAAAGTATTTAAAAAACTAATGCAATGTTTATTTTTCTCTATGCACTCTTAAAGTCACATTCATTTCAAGGGAGCTTGCACTGGAATTTGGCACAATTCATAAGACTGCTCTGCCATCTTCATCCCCCCATCTGAGAGACAGAGCAAGAACTAAAATCAACCATGAGTTTTTGTTGGAACTATAAGACTCTATAAGCCAAACCACCCGTAGCATAATCATTCTGGGAATGTACTATGAGTTAGGCTGGCTTTTTGCTGAGCAAGGGGTATGACACTGTGTATGTACCTTAAAGTCACCTGACCTCATGAATTACATAAGACTTTTAAGACTGGGAACACTCAGATGGTTCTGCCAATTCCTTTCACTGTAATAGTTTATAGGGTATTTGTTGGTGGCCTCCCATCCAAAAACCAAGCAGGGGTGGCTCTGCTTAACTTCGAAGATCAGATATAGTTTCCTTAATGTCAAGAATATTTGAAAATGGGAAGTCTGCACTACGCATTTTTAAAAATCATGTGAATCAGTTCCAAGCTTCCAAGGATACAGCTACACTGTAGGATTAATGCAGTTTAACAGCACTTTAACCGCCATGGATAAATGCTATGGAATCCTGGGAGGTTTATGTAATAACTAGTAGAAGTGATGTGACAGCTTTTTGGTATGAGTCAGGTCTATTGAGTAAGGGGGAGCTCAGAACCAGGAGAACAAAGACCAACCTCTAACTTAATGTTGGGACACTGGCTATAACACAATTGACAGACTGGGTTTAAGTATAAGGAGACATCAGGAATTCACTGTAGCAGACAGTCCTGTGTTTTGTTTTGTTTCTGGAGAAATGTGAGGCAGGAGAAGTTTCAAAATACTAACGCTCTGTATAGCATTATTTCACAGCAGGAGGAAATCTAGAAAAGTATTAAATATTTCCACTTAATTTTCATACACAGCTCCTTTCTATTGTAAATGTTTCTCTGCAAACCTTTTAGGTTATATTCATAGCAATAATTTGTTCCTACTGTCACTCCCCTGGTGACAGTACTGCATTCATACAATGCTGAGCATCACAAACATTTCCTCTTTTTTAATGTCAGGAGCGATTTGAGACACCCCATGTCGCTTCTGGTGTGAGAGAATTGGCTGTCTGCAAGGATGTTGCCCAAAGGACGCTCGGATGTTGGATGTTTTTACCATCCTTGTGGGAGGCTTCTCTTATGTCACTGCATGGGGAGCTGGAGCTGACAGAGGGAGTTCAACCCGCTATCCCCTGATTCGAACTGCTGACCGGCACAAGGGTTTAACCCATTGCATCACCAGGGCATTTGCTCTAAGGCAGGAGTTCTTAACTTTTTTCAGTTGCTGAGCCTTTTTTTGAAGCAAAAGTTTCTCATGGAGCCCGAAGAAATGTTTATATATTATATAATATAGATAATGTATATATATCATGGAGCACTCTTTGAGAACCGCTGTTCTAAGGCTACTAATCCCTGACAACTACAGTGAGCAGAATCTGTTATATATTGGCTCAAACTAAGCTGGCTGCCACTTTCAAAACAGAACTTGGGAGCTTACATTTATTTATCAACTATCAACTGGGAAGAATTCCAGCACTGTGACAATTTTGACATCTGTCTTCTGGAAATGCAATGATTTGCAAGAGATCCTATGTTGTTTAAATGAAACTTAAAAACAGAATCTCAGCTTTAAGCATTCAGAACTATGCTGTTTGGTTCTTCAGACTAAATGTTTTAGAATTCGGCTGTTGCAAGAATCTAACTATCCAATTTCTCATTTGTTAGAGATTTGAAAGTGCACTTCAAGAGTTGAAGTGTTCCCAATTTACATAGCAGCACTTTGCTAAAATAATCCTTACATTTAAAGAGAAAAAAAACCCTAATACAAATAAAATTTGCAAAAGAGCCATGTTAGAAGGCAAGACTAAGGAAAAGGTTTGGAAAAGGTTAAAACTATAGTCATGAAATCATGCCACTTAGTATTATATATTTAAATGGCTTTATTTTCAGTGTGAGTACAGAAGTCTTTGACAATAATCAGTGAACTGTGAACACAAATACAAGCTATATATGCATCAATACGAGTACAATATAAGTAAACACTTGACAGTGTTTTAAAATAGCCTGTTCTATGATTGAACTAACAGTATTCTACACTGCATTACGCCTTCATTAGTGTAGAAAACCATGTACCATGTGTAGAAAACCATCTATACTAATGAAATTGTAGTACAGTGTATGGAGAAAATAGTCTTTGTTCAAACAGCAGTATGAAGTGATCAATATGAATATGGCAACCTGTTATGAATTCTGATTCATCACTCCTATTTTGGCTTTCATGTTATATAGCTATTACAGCCCCATCTGAGACAGTTCAGTCTTAAACATTTGAGCAAATATACTTTGTTGTTACTAAACTTCTAGGGCTCTCTAACTTGGGTAGAGTTTTTAGTTATTTCTAGACAATGCCCACAAAATTGTTTTGCTTTTCTACTGTTCTGCCTTTCACTAGAAGATTGAAGAGATATGTTTATCAATAAGAAAGGGGAAGATGCTGTATAACATCTGAGGATAGTGTAATATACATAGTTTTGCTCCAACACTTGTGCAATTATGAGTTTAGTTACTCAAAAAGATACATACATCATAAGCCAGCCTCCTTAAAACAAGTGCCCAGCAGCCGTCCTGGTTCACAACTCTTAATCATCTACCACATGCATAGCTAACAGAGGCTGATGTGATCTGTAGTGTGTCACATCTAGAAGGGATTAGCCTCAGGATTAAAGCCATAGGGTGACAGAGCTAAATGCAGTTAGCTTCAGTGTTTTTGTATTCTACAGGGCTATCTACCTTTTCTTATTACCTAAACAAATACATTTGGGGATCAATTCTATAATTCTTTCTAACAGAAGGAAAAAAAAACATGCTTGTGAAACATACATGAAGCAAAGATTAATCTGAAGTACTTCTTTAAAGGGATGGTTATAAGTAGACTAGAAGCCCAGCGACTGTAATGATGAGTAACGTTTAGTATTCTGTTTAGCCTCAATTTAAAGGTGTGTTTAGATTTACAAAATGGTTACAAAATAAATTTTACAACAGTGGAGATTCTCCAGCAGCTTGTTACCTCTGATTATGCTATCAGGATCCAAGTGATCTAGAATGGGGGCACTTGAGCGGGAAGCAGCTCACTTTGTATTTATTTTCTTCAAACATATCTATTTTCTTCAAACATAAAATTGTACAGCAAGCCTGTTTTTATTTATTCCAAAATGGTGAAGCAACATTAGCCATATATGTAACAGACATTTGAAGATCTTAAATATCTTATGCTGTGAAAATTGGTTAAACAAAATTGACTTTGGACAATATAACTAAATGGTTAATGAGCAGGCAACAACCCCCCCCCCCAAATCAACAAAAAAACCCCCCACAGTTATTCAAGTTATACATTTAACCTGTATTCCTTTAACTCTAACCTGATAAAAGACCCATGGAAATCCACATTGTGATTGTTCTCAGGGCCACCTATGTCTTCATATATAAATTGGATGATACTGCTTGTGATTGAGTTCCTCCCTACAAGTTGGGCAAAACCTGGCATTGTTAAGAGAACGACTGAGACACTCACTACAAAAGATGTGGCCACATTCTGTGGACACTACAAGCCGTCCACTATTTACAATTTCCACAGAGTCATCCATGCAAATGGGGCACCTCACAATGCCTGAGGACAGTGAACTTTCAGCTCCTTCCCTTCCCAATTTGTTGGGCAACTCAGGGGTAACAAGGACATCACTCCCTTCATATCCAGTAGGAATGTCATCATCATCATCGCTACATAATATACAGCTGTCAAAGAGGGATCTGTTTCTGAATTCTTGATTTTGCCCCCATCTAGTCTCCTCAACAAATACAACAGAATCGTTAATTACTGAAGATTCACAGGTAAGGTCTATTACTTCTTCACCAACACTTTCACCTAGTTCAGTTGGCTCTGCTGCTGGAGCTGTTTCCTGAGCTGCAGCAGCCATTCTGTTTTGGCTACGGGTTTGTAGAGAAAGTCTTTTTTCTCCATAGTGTTTCCTCTGAAGCTCTTCCTGGTTCATTTCTTTGCTATCATTCAGGTGAGCAGCTCTTTTCAAAATGCTGGACCCCGCTTTAGAGGATGAACCAGCAGAGGCTAAAAGTAAAGGTGTGGAGGAAGTGGGTAAGACACTTGTTTCAGAAGGATATCCTGAAGTTGTGTTGTCCAGACTGCCAGTAGGACTTGCCGACATAAGGATGCTGTCCTTCTTGCATTTTCTACACTTAGACTTTTCTCTGGCTGAACTCATGGTACACAGCAGACACAGAGTACTTGTTTTCTCCCTTATCCTCCAAATGCTGTTCACTGCTTAGCTGCCACCCAGTTCTGTCATCTGATGATCAGGAATGCTCTCTAAAGCAACCTTATGTATCAAGGAAGGCTTGTCTCTTTAGGCCAGGTGTTGCAAAGATGCAAACTCTTGTGATGAAGGGGTAGGATGAATTTCAGATTATTCTAGAATTGCATCAAAGTATGAAGAAACATAATTAGGCTGAGCCACCTACATGAAAGATCTTATAAATCTTTAACGTGGAAGAAAAACCAGCATTATTCAATGATAATGATCATATTGTGGTCTTGTAAGCCAATATTTAAATAAATCAATTCGAGAAAAAATCCCTCCCCCCAGTGGGAGTTGAAGCACAAACAAAGAAGCAATCAAGTACAGCTTTGTACTTGACTGAACTAAGGAATTATGGCTAACAGTTTTGGAACAATTTAGGATATTAAATAATAGTCTTTACATTAGTTTGATGTCCAGGATTGTTCTAAAGATGATAACCATAGTTTCCCTGTTCTGATGAAATGGGAAACTATGATTATTTGAAGACTCCTAATCTATTTGCTCATTTGTGCAATACAGGTATACACATGGAATTATTATAGTGGGACATGATTGGCTGAAAACAGCCAGTGTTTCTAACCATGTCCTGGCAGGCATCCTTGTAAAATTTACAGAAGAAAAGAACATGAATGACTATGGTTGAGGAAATATCAGCTCATGCAGATATGTTGAGTCTGTTAGAAAATACAGGCTGAGTATTCCTTATCCAAAATGCTTGGGGCCAGAAGTGTTTGGGATTTGCACAGATGTATATAATGAAATGTCTTGGGAGATGAGGCTGGTTGAAGCATGAGGACAAAGTCTAAACACGTTTCATAGATACTTTGTACACATAGTAAAGGTTTCCTCTGACATTAAATCTAATTGTGTCTGACTCTGGGAGTTGGTGTTCATCTCCATTTCTAAGCCAAAGAGCCTGCATTGTCCCGAGACACCTCCAAAGCCATGTGGCCAGGATGACTGCATGGAGAACCGTTACCTTCCGCCAAGGTGGTACCTATCGATCTACTCACATTTGCATGTTTTTGAACTGCTTCAGTCAGCAAGTTCAGCAGCTCAGTAGTTTAACTTGCTGTGCCAGCAAGGGGCCCTTTTACACATAGCCTTAAGGTAATTTCATACAATATTTTACATATTTTGTGTATGGAACAAATTTGTGTACACTGAACTATCAGAAAGCATAAGTATCACTATCTCAAACATTCACATTGGATTTTGAACTATTTCAGATTTCTGGATAAGGAAAGCTCAACCTATATCAAGAACTCCTTCTCATACTATCTCACTTCTTATCCTTTCCTGTTAAAGCGGTATTTACAAGAGACTGGTGTGTTCAGCCTACACAATACTTGCATTCAAACTATTTAATTTACAATGCACATTTATCCTAGTATGGGATCCAGGAAGTCTTATAATATAGATTAGAACTGATTATAACTAAAGTTAATCACAATATCACAAAACTTAAGGTTCTTCAGGCAATGCATTACATTAAAAAGAACAGAGCCTCAGAGCCTCTGTGGGCCACACCAAAGTCTTGTGAGGGACACATCTGGCCTCTGGGTTGCATGTTGTGCAGGCCTGCCCTAGCAGGACTCTAGGTTTAATATTGTAAATATGTACTTTCGGGGAAAATAATGAATCAATATCCTGAAGGGGAAAGAAAGGACATGTTCTGTGGCTGGTTTTCTTATACAATATAGTAATCTTACCGTGGCTGTGATGGGGTATTTTGTGAACTTTGACTTCGAGCTGTAGACCACAACAGAGAGGCTGAAAAGAAAAAAAAAAACCATAAGAAATCAGAGCATCATCATACTTGGATGTTGCTATTTTGAAAAGCTACAAACAATGCACACATTCTAGAACTATGGGCTAGAACACTGAAGTGGGATGAGTATGTTATTTTACTTCCTCTTCACTAATGTCAGATAAAACTTTAATAAATATCCAGATTCCGCTAAATAGATCTCTGCAGTTCCTCTGATATCCAGAACTGGTGAAACGAAGGTGGGCTCACAGTCTTGTAGGAATGGAAACTTGGCTCTAAGATGTAATGTTTCACAACTTGATAATTTAAAAATATCCAGTTAAAAATAGTTTTTTAATCCATTCTTCTCTAAATCTGCTGAAGACAACAAGCAACTGAAATAATGAGACCAGGGGTAAAAGGATAATGATTAACATGAACAAATTAAAGGCAAGATTAGTGAAAATCCCTTCTTGGAAGAAATTATTCCAATACCTTATTAGTTTAATCACTTTTTCCTCCTATTAGAAGACTTGACTAATTTTCCTTGTAAGGAAAGACAACCTGCATAGAAGTAATTACTCTGAACAGCAGTTCCTTCATAGAAACCAAAGAAGCCTTTTTTCCTTCTTTCCACAGCTCAATGAACCTGAACTTCTACAGATTCAGCATATCTAAGGCCATGGGACTTAATGGGTTTAGCCACACCTAAGCCTGCACAGAATCAGGCTTAAATACTCAGAAAACAGTAATTACACCTAATAGAAATTTTAGTTCTTACCTGTGATTCACCTGTTTCCAGCAGGTAAGGGACAAACCTTTTCTAGCTTGGATTATGCTCCTCCCACTGTTTTAAATACGCAAGAAAAAGGAGGTAATCACACTAGAGCATATATCCACTTTAACTCCTGTGGCTGCCTCCTGTAGAATTCTGGGGTTTGTAGTTTAGGGAGTTGCTTTTAAATTTTTCAGCCATAGAGGTTCTGGGCCTCATAAAACTACAAACCCCAGAATTCTGCAGGAGGCAGCCACAGAATTTCAAGTGGATACTCTACTGTGACAAGGTTCAAAGAAAGCCCACATTGGCAAGGAAAAAGTCTAGAAAACCAGCAGCTATTGCAACCAAAGGAAATGAATGCTGCAGTGGGAAAAAATATTACGTTTCCAGAACAATAGAACTAGCTAGAGAAACAACAGGAAGAAATCTAGTCTGCTTTAACTGGTATGGTAATTAAAATAATTACCATGCTAGCATCTAGAATGGTTGGTCAAAAAGTTTGTCACTTATTTGTTAGAAACAGATTTATCACAGGATAGAACAGGTGCTACTTTCTCCAGAAGATAGGGATACTTTCTCCAGAAGATAGAGACCTTGTTGATGAAAACGTCCTCTGGGTGATGGTTGCCAGTCACCCAGATTGCTGCTGCAATGTCTACCCTCCTCGTAGACTGTGTCATAATATTATCTGATGAAGGATTATTCAGTGTCTCATAGCAGGAAGCTATGACCTGATCCATCTGTTCAGAGTGGAGGTGGAGACCTTCTTGCTCTTAGAGTGTGGTTGGAAGGAGACAAATAGTGCATCCAAGGGCCAGAAGCTACTTGTCCTTTTCAAATAAATCTAGATGGCCATTGCACATGGAAGGTGTACCAGACCTTTTCTAGCTTCTTCAATGGATATAGACGGAAAGATGAATTCCTGCACTCTGTGAAAGGTTGCAATGACTTTGGAAATGAAGGTTGGGTCCAACAACAGCACCACCAAGTCTAGTCTGAAGATAAAGAACTCCTTGTGAGCAGAGTGTATTCCCAGCTTTAATATCCTGCATGCTGAGGTGAGCAATTAGGGACAGAACCTCTCAGGAACGATGCTAGACCAGCAGTTCCCTCAAAGGGAAATAATGTCAACATCTTCAGAATGATGTGCAAGTTATAGATGGAAAATGCAGTCTAATAGTTTGTATTTGAATAATCTCCAGAACATGTCACAGATTTTCTTGGTAGGAGACTTCCTGAAGGCCAGGATGTAACCGTAGTCTGTTAACATGCTCTGTTCAATCCGAGGCATGTAGCTATAGCCAATTGTGGTCAGTGCGATGATCCTGGGCATGCATGAGATTGTTCTGGGCTATGTGGGGCATGGAGTCATATAAATGATGTCAGAAAACCAAGCCTTATTGGACCATGTTGTTGACAAAGGATGTCTGCTTTCTTCTTCCCATTGCTTTTTAACTGTTGATGTTCATTTCCTGCATTCTTACAGCAGATGTGGGAGTGCTCTCTGCTAGATAACCTCTCCCCAGTCCTTGAAGCCCTTGCCAATGAAAATATATTTCTCCTGCACTCTCAGATAAAACAAAGAGGGAGGAGGGGGAAGGGTGAGGCCAGAAAGCAAGATGCCAAAAAACTGAATTATATTATATTATTGTGGTATTATTGATATGTTGTTTTTTCGTTATTGCTTTATTGTAAATTGTCTTTTATATGTTGTACACCGCCGTGAGTTGCCCTAGGGCTGAGAACGGCGGTCAACAAATGCAGCAAATAAATAAATAAATAAATAAATAAACTGAAGAGGAAGGGGTGTTTTTTGAAGGACGAGGAGAAAAAAACCCAGAAAGGAGAAAGAGTAGGGTGGCTGTAGTATGATGTAGGAGAAACGATCAGCATGTCCTATCCGGAGCATAGGTAGGAAACAGACTGGCCTTCTATGGTTAGCTCCCTCCACATGAGAAGACCAAATACTTTCTTTTTACTGTCTTTTTGGAGCAGTGGAAGGATCATATCCCAAGTTACAAGAAATTCCTCCCTTATTTGCCAGGAAACACATAAATCACACTTGCTTGATGAACAAAATTTTGCAATTTTGCAGAAAATCAACCTAGGCTGTTTGGCTGCCAATATCCTTTTTCTTTAACTCTCCCTAATCCTATTATGCTGGGCAATACATTTTAGAAGTTTTATTCAGTAGTGTCTGCGTGAGAGTTTGTGACATGTAAGCATTCTACTTGACTCCAACTTATAGCATCCCTAGCACAGTGTCTTTTTTGCCAAGATTTATTCAGCGGGGGTTTACTTTTGTTCTCAAAACTTGTGCAACTAGTCCAAGGTCATCCTGGGGTGAAGAGCAGAGATTCAAATCCTGGTTCCCAGACTCCTAGTTCAATACTCAGTTGACTAACATATTGGTTCTATGAACTTAGTAGCCAAACAATTTAGTGGTTACAAATGACCTTGCTCTATGAGGACTAATCTTTGTTGAAATGACCATATTTTATAGATGATTTGTGCAAATAGTAAGTCTGACATTCTGTGAAATGGGTAACCTGTTAGATTCTGAAACTGTGGATTCAAAGAAGTGCTTTAGTGTGCTATGGCACAGCCTGCACTTCTGTCTTGCTTCTCAGTTTCTTAAGCTAGCCTGACCACTTTCCTGGGAAATGATGTTTTGTGAGAGGTTATACCTACAATGCCAGCTATTTTATAATGGCGTCTCAAAAGCATGCTCACATATTACATTGGGGACTCCTGTGCTTGATGTGTGTATTTAGCACTGGACTACGTAGTATGTTTTAGCTGCCAATTTAAATGTATTTATTATTTTAATGCATAATGTATTTTGAATAATTTATGTTTGAGTGCGGTATTGAATTATTGCTAATTTGGAAACTGCTCTGAGTCCACTTTGGGGTTGAGATAGAGCAGGATAAAAATACTGCAAATAAATAAACAAATAAATAATTCAATTAGCCAGCATGTTTAACATACTTTTTTCATATGCTGAAAGTTTTCTAGAACACGAATAGTAAACCGAATGATTTGAAACTGCTGAGTGCAAAATCTACTCCAGCTGTTAGCAACTTAATTTGAACATCTTCACATTACCACAAACGTTTTCTTTAACAAAGTACTTCTCTTTGTCAGGTATTTTTCTTTTGATTTTGAAACACTATTATAATTTCAAATCCTGATTTTATTTTATAGAGCAACATAACACGAATAAAGCAATGAGATTTCTCAATGAGGCATGGCATGAAAGGTTTTTAATATACACATAAGTAAATGTGTATATACTCCTGCTATTCAAAAACTAGAACCAACAATGCCTTGTTCCTCAAATCTAGATTTCCCTATGTCTTATAGAACATTACAGTTGTTACCAGCAACAGTGAAGTCACAATATACCAGGCAACCCAAGATAGGAAGAAATTTTAACACCAGCCTTGGAACACCCAGGTGATAGTTGTTGTGCTTACATGCAAACATAGCAAAACATGAATGGAACGAGGATTATATACAGGTTGAGCATCCCTTATATAGAAACTGCAAGTTGCTTCTGGTGTGAGAGAACTGGCCATCTGAAAGGACATTGGCAAGTGGATGCCTGGATGTTTTGAGGTTTTACCATCCTTGTGGGGGGGGGGGCTTCTCTCACATCCCCGCATGGGGAGCTGGAGCTGACAGAGGGAGCTCAACCCTCTCTTGAGTCAAAGCACTGACTTCTTGGTCAGCAATCCTGCAAGCACAAGGGTTTAACTCACTGGGGGCAATATATACAGGCACAATAAAAAGCCACCTCTTATCTGGAATCACTGGGTTGCTGTGAGTTTTCTGGGCAGTATGGCCATGTTCCAGAAGCATTCTCTCCTGATATTTTGCCCACATCTATCACAAATCCCTTACTCTCTGAGGATGCCTGCCATAGATATGGGTGAAATATCTGGAAAGAATGCTTTTGGAACATGGCCATACATCCCGGAAAACTCACAGCAACCAATTAAAAGCTTTCTTAATTAAAAACGTTGGAAAAAGGAAAGCAGGGAAGGGGACAGTGTACCTCCTGCAATAAGAGATATCTAACCTGCATTGAACACATTTGCCTCAGGCTTTGCACGGGCAAACTTCGACCCTCCAGGTGTTTTGGACTCCAACTCCCACAATTCCTGACAGCTGGTGTGTGGGAATTGAAGTCCAAAACACCTGGAGGGCTGAAGTTTGCCCATGCCTGGTGTAAAGGTTAAGTCTAGTCGTGTCCGACTCCGGGGGATGGTACTCATCTCCATTTCTAAACCAAAGAGCCAGCGTTGTCCGTAGACGCCTCCAAGGTCACGTGGCCAGCATGACTACATGGAGCGCCGTTACCTTCCCGCAGAAGCGGTACTTATTTATCTACTCACATTTGCATGTTTTCGAATTGCTAGTTTGGCAGAAGCTGGGGCTAACAGCAGGAGCTCTCCCCGCTTCCTGGATTCGAATGCCAACCTTTGGGTCAGCAAGTTCAGCAGCTCATCGGTTTAACCCGCTGCGTTTAAGTTTATCAATGGGAACAGAAACAAAAGGCAGAGCGAGAGGATGTGGGGCTTAAAAGTAACTGAGGAGTAGAAGGCACCTGAGAAGAGGCAGCATGTCGAGCTCAGGAGGAAGAGAGCCAAGGGGTGGCAGAAAGGGAACAGGCCTCACAGAGAGAGAGAGACCCCAAAATGGCGCCAGGAGAAGAAGAAGAAGAGCGGCGCGCCCCCGCCTCACCTGCCCGCGCGCCCCTCTGGCCGAGCCCTCGCCCACAGCCAAGCACAGGCGCCAAAGCCGCCGCTGCCATCACAAGTCGCCGCTCCTTTCACCTCGCCTCCCGCCGGAACCGGAAGCAGCGGGCGGAGAAGGGCAGTAGAGTGCCGGAGCCGACGGGAACCTGCAACCCGGCTCCAAGGTTCCGCTCCAGTCTCTCTTTTTCGAGGGCTTGTTGGGAATTGTCCCCCAACGGGTCCCTCGGAGACGGCCGCGATGGCCACCGCTGTGGAAGCGTTCGTGTCTCGGCAGCTGGAGCTGCTCCAGGAGGAGCGGGAGGCCGAGATTGCCGAAGCCAGGTACTGAAGGCCCGGCCTGGGGTCCTCGGCCTCCCCGCAAAAGAGACCCAGGCGCCCGGAGAACGATCCTGACATTTGGGAGCCCCTTTTGGAGTGCACGAGCCCGTCCATTCCGGAAGCGTGCCGCCAGGGGAGCGTTTATGCCAGGCCTGGGCAAACGTCGGCCTTCCCTCCAGGTGTTTGGGACTTCCACTCCCACCATCGCCAACAGCCGCTGTTGGGAACTGTGGGAGTGGAAGTCCAAAACACCTGGAGGGCCCAAATTTGCCCAGGTCTGGTCTACACTGTCGAATTAATGCAGCTTGAGACCTCTTTAACTTTAACTGCCGTAGCCCAATGCTGTGGAATCATGGGACTGGTAGTTTGGTGAAGCATTAGGTCTCTGGCAGAGAAGGCTAAAGGCCTTTCGCCACTTCGAGTCTCTTCAAGAGCAAAAAGTGTGTGTGTGTCTCTCTGTGTGTACACACACACACACACAAACTCCTAGGATCCCATGGTATTGAGCCATAACAATTTAAATGGCGTCAAACTGTATAAATTTGACAGTGTAGATGCACCAATAGTTATTATCCATGTTTGGTATAGTATCTATACTTTTAAGTAATTTTGAGTTTGTTTATTTTATCATTTTTATTTGATGTCCACAGTATATACCAGGCATGGGCAAACTTTGGCCCTCCAGTTGTTTTGGACTGCAACTCCCACAATTCCCAACAGCGGCTGTTAGTGATTGTGGGAGTTGAAGTCCAAAACACCCGGATGGCCAAAGTTTGCCCATGCCTGGTATATACAGTATTACAGTGCAGCAATAAATCACGATATAAAATATTACCTTATCCCATTTCTCCCCTTTCTATTAGGGGAAGATATGAGTGCCATGAGTGAAATAAGATGATAAGAGTACAGGGTAACTTATTAGTAAGAGGATTGTTAGGGAAGTACAGTAGTTTGTAGAAGTATATATAACTAGTAAAGGCATTCCATATGAAACCTTTGGATAATCAAAAGCTTTCTGTTAGGACATTGCCTCACAAACTTGGTTCTCCGGGTGTTTTGAATGTCAGTGCCCAGAATCCCTGACTGTTGGTTACTTTTGGGAACAGAAGTCCAAAATGATTGGGGGACTGAACTTTGGGAAATGCTGTGTTGGGAAATCAACCTCTGCTTTGCAGCACTTTCTCTTCAGAGAAAAACTGTTCTCTTGACTGCATCTACATACACACAGAATGCTCCTACTAATGCCACAGTTAAACTACACACCTGTGCTTCTGACCTTCTTCCTTTATTGTAAGCATATGCTAAGATGCACACCTGCATTCTCCACTTAATGTGGATTGAAGGCAGCTTGTAAATATGGTGTTTACATGACACATGGCACAAACATGCACACCAAGGCAAATTTAAGGTTTTAAGCCAAGATAAGCAAAATTGGGGGATAACCCAAAAGAGCCTGTGATAGGTATGAATGCATGCTTCAGTGTAAACCAGTAATTCCCAACCTGTGGGTCCCCAGGTGTTTTGGCCTTTAACTCCCAGAAATCCTAACAGCTGGTAAACTGGCTGGGATTCTGGGAGTTTTAGTCCAAAACACCTGGGAACCCACAGGTTGAGAACCACTGGTGTAAACCATGTTGCGCTGTGAAACCAATTAAGAGACAGCAATCTGCCCATTTGCATTGCGGGGAGAGGGAAGATGAAGAAAAAAACCCCAGCCTCCACTGCTATTGGATACTTCAGATCCTGGAATAGGTACCGTATATACTCGAGTATAAGCCGACCCGAATATAAGCCGAGGCACCTAATTTTATCACAAAAAACTGGGAAAACGGATTGACTCGAGTATAAGCCGAGGGTGGGAAATGCAGCCACTACTGGTCAATTCCAAAATAAAAATAGATACCAATAACATTGCATTAATTGAGGCATCAGTGGGTTAAATGTTTTTGAATAAAACTAAGTTAAGATAAGACTGTCCTTTGATTAAAGCATTATTCGAACCTTCTTCAGTGTAAAAGTGTTTACATATCCTTCCAATAATAATAGAGTAAAATAAGAAATATAATAATAATAATAATAGAGTAAAATAATGGAAATGTAATAATAGCAGTAATAAGAGTAAAATAATAAATGTAATAATAATAATAAAGAATAAAATAATAAATGTAATAATAGAGTAAAATGATTAATGTAATAATAATAATAATAATAATAATAATAGAGTAAAATGATAAAAAACCTTGACTCAAGTATAAGCCGAGGGAGACTTTTTCAGCTTAAAAAAAGGACTGAAAAACTAGGCTTATACCCGAGTATATACAGTACTTCAGATACTCTACAGTACCTATAAGCACCCTCCAGGTCTCAGTCTTGTTCCAGGGTGCCACATCAGCTCCATGTTGAAATTGTGTCTTTTTCCACTGGTTTCAACTTGTCAGTGGTTCTCAATCTGTAGGTCCCCAGATGTTTTGGCCTACAACTCCCAGAAACCCCAGCCAGTTTACCAGCTGTTAGGATTTTTGAGAACCAGTGCCTTAAGTGTTCAGTGTGTGCTTCTCAACACTACACAGTTAATGACGGCTGACCCCACATTCAGTGCTCTGGCTCAATAGGATGTTTTTATTGAGTCACTGGCACTCTTTAGCAGAGAAAGGAAGAAACAGTACAAAATTACACTTCCCAGGATTCCATAGCACAGAGCCATGGCAGTTAAAGTAGTTTCAAGTTGCATTAATTCTGCAGTGTTGATGTACCCAGCGTAGATGTGCCCACAGTCTCCCACAGCAAATAAAAATTACACACACACTGAAGAAAAAACACTAAGTTCTTTGTAATAATAATAATAATTTGTTTATTACCTGCCTCTCCTTGCGGCTCAAGGCGGAGTACAACAGGGTTAAAAAGTGATCCCTTGAGTTGAACCACCTGAGCCTGATTAACTCCCCAGGCTCTGAGAACTTATCTCCCATAGTATAATTGATTGGCAATATTTTTGTTGTTATTCTGGAGCAATTTAACACAATTTATTGGATTCAGGGAATTTTTATGGATGTACTAAGCAAAATGAATACACCATTTCCATTTTGTAAATTGAAGTTAAATATCTTGAGTCACTGAACTGTTTTAATTATTTACAATTGAAGTATGTGATGAAAGATTGTTTAATTATCTGAAAATCCAAGAGATGGAGAAGCCTCAAAATGAAGGAGACATCCATCCTCTCCCCTCCCCAGCTGAGGCCTATATCCAAAAACTATGCTCACTTCCACATACCCAAGGGATTCTAATATTGTTTCTCGAACAGTAGCCAGAAGATTATTAATTTAAAGTCTTTTTATTCCCTAGTCCCCAGGCCTAGAGCTACAGAGGAAAACAGTTTCTTTAACACCCAACATGCCCATATTTATTGCTTGAGGTTCTCCCTTGAGGTGAACTTTCAAAGCAATGTCTATTATTAAGTAAAATGACTTTGAGATTCATTTAAGATTTTGCTGCCACTCCATAAGCACCGATATTTAAATGCTTCCTATGGCTGATAAATGTTTTCTTATTTGTGGCTACAAAGAGAGAGGGAAACATAGATCAGCTTCCACTGAGTTGTCAGGGAGCTAAACATGTGGTCACTGCAATGCTGTGATCAGTCACTGCAGTGCTGTCGAACAAATGACTTCTGGACATGTGTAATGGCTGCATATTTTATTACAGGAGTCATTTGTCCCCTGTATGTGTACTGTAAAAACTGTTCATTCATTTCAACTGTAGGTTCTGTTTTCTTTAAACTTGTCTTCAGTGTTTGATTTGAAAGCCTATCTAATCCTAAAAGCTTTGCACATATCATATCCCTGATCAAATATACTCCTAGTATATATGGTCTTTTAAGGCCTTCTATACATGGACAGTTTGTGTCAAGGGAGATCAAAGTCTTGCAGTTCTCTACATCTCCCAAGTTTGTGGTTAGGATGTTGGAAAAACAAGCATCAAACCCAGTTAGCTTTGAAGGTGCAGTTTTCTTCCTTTACTTAAAGAACACCTGTAATTAACTGCATTCCAACAGACCCAAGTATTGTGCAGTATTGTTGCATGTATTGGCTCTTTGCTTTCTGTTAGAATTTTAGTAAGGGAGGAAGAAGATAAAGCTGCTTAGTTTATACTGTTCACTTGCCTACTGTTCCATGGCCTTTCTCTTTGTGTCCAGAGTATGGCAGGAAAGCATCTCCTTGAAAGAGCTGGAGCGCAAAGGAGTCTGCTTGCTGAAACTCGAAATAGCTAGTCAAAGAACTGGGCTATATGGACGTCTCCTTGTAACTTTACAACCTAGAAAATGTGGCTCGCAAGCAGAGCTGCCCAGTAATAGCTTTGGGCCTGGTAAGTAAATATACTCTTAAGTAGTTAGAATGGCTAAAACTAGCTGTAGATACAAATATGCATATTTCAAGTACTTCCTATATGGTGCTTTCATAGTCTTAGAATTCTAGTGAAACTAACACAGGCCTTGCATTATGACTAATCTGTGGGAAGAAGATCACAAATATGAAGTTGAATTGAGCGGATATTTTTATATAGTTACAAATTTAGTTCTTAATAATGAAATCTAAGGATAAAACACTTACAGAAGCTTGTTTATTCTTCCATTAACAATTTTACCTGTACTGGTAAGAGATTCCACAGTACACTGAGTATACCAGATTTTGTGGCAATTGAATTGGGAGAGGACAACACCAGGCAAGCGGCAAATAAAGGTACATTTACACTGTAGAATTAATACAGTTTGATATCATTTTAACTGCTGTGGCTCACTGCTATGGAATCATGGAAATTGTAATCTTACAAGGTCTTTAGCTTTTTCTGCCAAAGAGTGTCCAGTCTTCATTGTACTACAACTCTTGTGGTTTCATACCATTGAATGATGGTAATTAAAGTGGTGTCAAACTGAATTAATTCTGCAATGTAGATGCACCCTAAAACTGGGGTGGACTTGGTTTGTCTTTTCTGCATGACTAGGTTTTACTCCTCATTCTGGCAGATGTACTCAGCAAGGTTACTGACAACTGTCATTTAATAGTCACAAAGTATTGTAGATTTTAGGCATACATGATGCTTTATCTAGGTCTTGTTTGTCATATTACCTATCATCATCAATGAACCTACAGGGTTTTGCAACATTTTGTGTAGTTCTCTATTTCTACCTGTCTTTGAGAACAATAGTTGGCTCTCCTTATTTATGTATTGTATGTCCATGAATTCAACCATCCATGGTTTCAAAATATTCCAGAAACATTTCAACAAGCAAAGCTTGGTTTTGTCATTTTTTAAAATATGGGACACAATTTTTTAATATAATGGGATTTGAGGAAGGGTTTGGTGGGCAGTGTCCTTTGGTTTTGGAGTTGTAGTTCACCTACATCCAGAGGGTTTGGTGGGCACCACGGATTTCTGTGGTGAGTGAGAGGATATTAGAACCAAACCTAAAGAGGTTTGGGATTCCTAAAGAGAACATTTTAATAAAACATATGAACAATCAAATCTGCCAGACCCACAAAAAGGGGCTGTCTGTAATATATTACTTTGGAAATGGCATGGATATTTTTCTTATTGAGAAGATAGTGACCTAAAAAGAGATAATAGAAATACAGATGGTTCCCGAGTTACAAACATTCATCTTACAAATGACTCATGGTAAAGAACAGGGGTGAGACAAGAGTGAGAGAAATCTACCCCTAAAAAGGGAAATGCACCCCTGAAAGAGTTATCATGGGGAAAAGGTATCTCCACTGCAGCTTTCTCACCAATCTTTGTTTCCACAACGACTCCTAATTTTCAATCATCACAGGAACATAAAGTGGTGTGAAATCTTCTGAACAGGAGCACAGACAGCAAAGCAAATACCGTGGAGATGTTAACCCTTTCCTATGCTAGAAGATATATATACACACACACACCAGCTGTCCCCTGCCACGCATTGCTGTGGCCCACATGGGGGTTCTGTGTGGGAGGTTTGGCCCATTTCTATCATTGGTGGGGTTCAGAATGCTCTGAGATTGTAGGTGAACTATAAATCCCAGCAACTACAACTCCCAAATGTCAAGATTCTATTTTCCCCAAACTCCACCAGTGTTCACATTTGGGCATATTGAGTATTCGTGTAGAGTTTGGTCCAGATCCATCATTGTTTGAGTCCACAGTGATCTCTGGATGTAGGTGAACTACAACTCCAAAACCAAAGGACACTGCCCACCAAAGCCTTCCAGTATTTTCTGTTGGTCATGGGAGTTCTGTGTGCCAAGTTTGGTTCAATTCCATCGTTGGTGGGGTTCAGAATGCTTTTTGATTGTAGGTGAACTATAAATCCCAGCAACTACAGCTCCCAAATGACAAAATCATTTTTTTTAAGTGAAGGACATACATTGGGTTGTTAGATGTCTTCTGTCCAAATGTGGTGTCAATTTGTCCAGTGGTTTTTGAGTTCTGTTAATCCCACAAACGAACATTACATTTTTATTTATATAGATAGAGAGAGAGAGAGAGAGTGCTGGAGTAACACTTTAAAACAGGGGTCCCCAAACTAAGGCTCGAGGGCCAGATACAGCCCTCCAAGGTCATTTACCCAGCCCTCGCTCAGGGTCAACCTAAGTCTGAAACAACTTGAAAGCACACAACAAAAACAACAATCTTATCTCATCAGCCAAAAGCAGGCCCACACTTCCCATTGAAATACTAAGTTTATATTTGTTAGAATTGTTCTTCATTTAAATTATTGTATTGTTTTAAAGTGTTTTTTAAACTACAAGTAAGATACGTGCCTTTTTCATAGGAATTCATTCATTTTTTTTTTCAAATTATAATCCGACCCTCCAACAGTTTGAAGGATTGTGACCTGGCCCTCTGTTTAAAAAATTTGAGGACCCCTGCTTTAAAACGTACCTGTTCCAACTTACAAACAAATTCTTCTTAAGAACAAACCTACAAAACCTATCTTGTTCATAACATCAGGATTGGCTGTATTTTAATAAGTAAAGGTAGCAGACCTTTAGAAATACCAGACCCTGTGTTTCCAGAGTGCAGTGCTCCTCCCATTAACTCATTCTGCTACTTTCTACCTTGAATGTGATTAATTTCCAGCTGTTTCAAAAAATAAAACTATTCCTAATATTGTGCCTTTAAAGGATCTTTTATAAAAATGTGAAGCTGTACCTGCACCATTAAGTTAAAACTTGGACATTGTAACACCCCCCCCCCCCCCCGAATAGACTTAATATAGTTTTCTGATGACATTTTGACTGATACAAAGATCTTTTACATTTGTTGTTAGCTGTGTCTCACAACAAATGTTATAGCTGAGAAATTAGCATGGCCCTGGTGGCCTAGCATTTGTATTTTATCAGGGGCTGTCTATGTTACGAAGTTACTAATTGATAATTAAGAAAAATAGTTCAGCAGAGGCCTATGTCTGAAGTAATCAGATTTTCATATAATTGTAACTAATGTAGGCTGCAACTGTACACAGTCTTACATAGCAATAAGACTCATTGAATTCAGTGAGACTTAGTCTTAAGTAGAAACTAATAGATTTTTTTAAACTTGCAAAACAATAATCATGTTATGCTTCTTAAGCATAGGAATAGTATATGAGTGACAGGGGAACACATTATGTGATCCCAACAAAATGAAACATTGGTGAAAGCAATACACTGCAAAGCTATGTAAAAGAGAAGAAATGATGACCGAAGAATGTAATGTTTGACTATCAACTTGCAGTTTTCAAATGTGCATTGTAAAGACTTTCAATGTACCAAAGATATTCTGAAGAAATCAATCTGGACTTTATAGATTACACAGAGCCTTTGATATCGACAGTTAGGTTTCACTTTAAAAGGAATAGTTCAACAATGTCTGGTAATCCTGATGCATATTTAACCTATACTCTGAATGAAAGGATACTATTTGGACACAGTATAGAGAAACAGAATGGATTCCTATTGGCAAGAGGATCAAATAAGGCTGCTTTTTTCCTCGACCCATAATTCTTTCAAGAAGCCAGAGTAGATGTTGGGGCAGCCATTAGTTATGCTGCTGCAGCTTTGAATAGTGCTGTAACCGTGCTAGCTTTCCTTTACAGGTAGAAACCATTTTCTGTATGAAGCAAAATGTATGGAACATATAAGTCTGTCTTTCATCGTTATTCTGTTATAATTCCTTGATATATAGCATAAAGTAGAGGGCTCTGCATGCAGCTTTCAGGATAAAACCTTGTTACAAACAGGTTTATGTTTTGAATGCCGTATCCTGAATTCTCCCCTACTCCCCTTTCCATGGGAGACCAATAGACACATCAATCTCCTGCTTTTTGTGGATTGTTGTGAAGGCAGCAAGTTTGGACATGCTCTTTCTCCCCAGACTCATCTTCTCCCAAAAAACATGAGAGAGATCAGCAGACAGATCAGATGGATCTAGGTATGTCCTTCAAAGCTAGACGTTTACTAAACAGGATTCTCCAGGGCTATTTGTGGCCAATTCTTTTCCTCAAGGGAAAGAAAGGAGAGAGACATGCATCCAAACCCTTTAAGGCCAGAACAGCGACTAGATAATAATCTGGGGACAGTTCTTACCACGACAGACAGATGGCTCCATGGATATTGCTTAGAGAACTCATCAGCACTGATGGCTGGTATGCACAGTAGTGATAAACAGCATACGTGAGGGTCCTTAGCTGTTTCTAAAACAAAATAGTATTTGAAAACAATTTGTATTTATCTAGACAAATATGGACTTTGGAAAGAGTTGCCAAGACCTAAAACCTCGTAAACTCCTTGGCCGCTGTTTCAGAAAGAACAGTGTTTCTTATATGTGACACAAAAGGCAGCACGAGCTAAAGGCATCACCTATTGAGCTTACAATTGCTAGTGACAGAACAACTTTAATTATGCAGAGCCGTACTTTTCCTTTAAGGAATAAATATTTCAGTAAGATGAAATTGGCAGGCAAGAAGCAAAAAAAAAAAAAAAAAAGGGAAAAAAAGGCAGGTGGGAAGGAACATGAAAATGTGGCTTGGCTGTGTTGTGAATGACCAATTTTTACCTAAGCAAAAGCAACATTTTTGTTGGATTTAAAGTGATTGTGTTGATTAAACCATCATAATATAAATTGACAACTTCCAGCTTGATTGAAGACACATAGCAGCCGATATTTATCTCTTTGGTAATAAGTTAATAGGTTTCATTGTCACTTTGCATTCTGGAATAGAATTGTCATACAGTACTAGCTTTTGTTATTTTAAGTTAAGTTGTACATAGTTTGGGAAGGTGTGTTTTTTTTTTTTTGCAAGAGATTAAAGGCCTCTTTAATTCAACATTCAGCTTGTACAGTGGCCACACAGTTGTCCACAGGAGATTCATGGATGCTTCTATGTTCTGGAGTACTGTGAATAAGTTGACTGCTTCTTGTGAACAACAAAAATTGGCTTAGTTGGTGCTGGAATGTTAAACTTTGTATACAAGCACTAAACTTTCTTAGAGGCCAGAATCTGGCTTTAGCAATGAAATATAGGGCACAAGATTGGAAGATCGCCATGGAGATGCTCCTCACTTTGGGGTTAAAGAATAATGTTTAAAATTAAGCCAACGCTTTATTACTTTATCTTTGAAGAGTTCTTGTTCTTTTAATATTACTTCTACAAGTTAACTATTCATTATCAGAAAGGGTTGACATCAGAAATGTTTTAAATTTTGGAATACCTGTATTAGAATACAATATTTCACCATGTAATACACGTTTTTGTGCCTATTTTTTGTAAACTTTTTTAAAAAATTGAAAACTGTTTTTTTGCAGAATTCCTTCCCTTCCTCTTTCATCGCTCCTTTGTTCATCTACCACATGGAGCTATAGCTGCTTTGCTTGGACATTTTACAGCAGCCGAGGGCAGGGGTCCAAAACCAGTTGTTTTCATTGATCGCACAGCCGCAGTATGTTCATAATGACAAATTCAATAAATATGCCTTATGCACATAGCCTTATGGTAATTTTATGCACAATACTTTTAATTATTCTATACATGAAACAAAGTTTGTGTGCATTGATCCATCAGAAAGCAAAGGTGACATTATCTTAGTCACCCATGCAACCAGTTTCAGAATTTGGAATGTCCATTAAGGTTTGGTTTTGGGACTCCCACGGGTACCAAAATCTGAGGATGTTCAAGTTTCATGACAGGCAGTGGCAGAATAAATGGTGTCCCTTATATAAAATGGTAAAATCAAGTTTTGCTATTTGGATTTTTAGAGGGAAGTGGGGGTAAGGGGTATTTTCAAACTATAGATTATTGATTTTGTGGATGCAGAATCCATAGATACAGAGGACCTACTGCTTTTTGAATTCTGGATAAGGGATGCTCAACCTGTTATACTATTAATGGGTTTTATAATAAGCTATTACTTTACAGCCTCTTGCTTGTAATTTCAATAAAATTTTAATCTGTTCTGTTTTTAAAGGTTTTTTTATGAAGCAAATTAAAATCTTATTTTGCTCTGTAAGCTCATTGAGGCAGAATAAAATAGTGGTAAAACAGAATCCACTCAGTATATTTTGGAACTATAGCTATGCATCTGGTAATCTGACTCAAATGTGGAGACCGACTACAGGAGTCTCTGGCCAGCCATTCCTAATTCTGTGTGTCTCAGGAGCAGACCTGGATCAAGGTCCCTAAAGTCAGTATCCCCAACATTCTAGATAAAATTACGTGTGTCTGAGGAAATAAGCTGTAGTTCATGAAAACATACGCTATAACAATTTGTAAGGTTTGGGGGTCCTTGTTGGTTTGCCTTTCTTAACAGTAGGGTTGAGTTGCCTTTTGCAGGATTAACTTTCCTTGCTTCTATTTCTAAGGACTGGAGTTTCTTAATTTGATTTTCTATCTTTGTGTTCTTTTTTCTTTGAGGCAAGCTTAAAACACTGTGAATCTGCAGATTTTCACATTCTGTCCAGATTTTGGAGAAAACATGGTGAATATGTGTTGCCAGCACTTAGTCCACAGTAATTAAGTTAGGATTTTTCTGGCCTCTGCATTTCTAGGGCGTCATGAGTTTCTGGGACAATGATAAAATAAGCTGAAATAATAGAATTATAGAGTTAGAAGAGATCTAAAGGCCCAACTAGTCCAACTGTCTGCCACACAGGAACAAAAGTCAACCCTGTTAGTTTTTGTAACTCATTTTATTTGGGGGTGGGGGGTGGGGTGAGATTTTGTTATCTGCCATTTAATTGTTAGAATTACTTACTATAGCAGGGGTTGGATAAATATGTGATTACTGTGGCTAAAAACTCTAACGTCAACAACTGTGTTTTTCTCATGTGATGGAGATAAAATATGTAATTTGTGAGTTGGCCTTAAACAACATCCATTTTAGCTTTGGTCTTCAACCTTTTATCCCCACCATACTGGAACTCTGGAAAAATCTATTTCTAATCTCCTTATGCAAAGCAGCATCTTTTTTTTTTAAGGGATTGATCAAGCACTTGCCTCTTATTCTGTAGTTAGAAATAGAAATTGACCTAGTTGGTTCTTTACAAAAAGTGGTACCTTTCTGTTAGCTTTATAATGAGACTTAGTGCTGGATCCATGCAGCGGACATCGGTGAACCATTGTAGGATGAAGCTATTGGATTGAAATCACAGGATGTTGAATTTTGAACTAGTAGCCAATTCTGAGCACTTTCTTTGCTGGATTTAAAGGGATGCCTTCCAATTTGGATCATGGGCAGGTGGTAGAGACAAGTTGGAGGTGGATGTGACTTGGGTGAGATGCAAGTAGCTTGTTGTCTAATACTGGAAAGATTGCATTCCTGTGATCCATCCCTGTGATAATTTATGGAATGCTTAAGGGCAAGAACCTCTCCTATTTGGACTGTAATTCGTTGGTATGGCTTATCTGCCCATGTTCAATGCCTTCGCATTTCCTTTTAGAAGATCAGTGTCCGGACTTGATGCCGGGGATCTTAGCTGCTAATTAGAATAGATGGTACTGAGACAGATGAACACATTGTCACATTTGGTACAAGGTAGCTCTTGCGAGAAGATCGAACCAGTCCATACTTCAGGAAATAAAGCCTGACTGCTCATTGGAGGGAAGGATATTAGAGACAAAGTTGAAGTACTTTGGCCACATCATGAGGAGACAGGAAAGCTTAGAGAAGACAATTATGCTGCGGAAAATTGAAGGAAAAAGGAAGAGGGGCCAACCAAGGGCAAGATGGATGGATGGTATCCTTGAAGTGACTGGCTTGACTCTGAAGGAGCTGGGGGAGGTGACGGCCGACAGGGAGCTCTGGCGTGGGTTGGTCCATGAAGTCATGAAGAGTCGGAAATGACTGAACGAATGAACAACAACAAAGCTCCTTTACTGTACTCCTTCACTGTTTCCTGTTTTGTATTCAAAATTTTATTCTCTCTGATGATTTGTCTTTTCTGCAGGTGACATTGTGGGATTTTATGAAACTGCTGGACAAGGTGATCAGCTCTCCACGGGAATAGTCACCCGCATAACCAGTAAATCAGTTACTGTTGCTATTGATGAGCCTCAGAGTAGCCTTCTGAACCTGGACCAGGGAAACGCTTATCGTTTACTAAAACTTGCCAATGATGTCACATATAAAAGGCTTAAAAGGTAACACACCTCTAGCAGGCCTTGGCTCATTACAAATCTTAAATGGGGGATAATCATACATTGCTCTCAAAACTGTGATAGCTTTTTAAGAGTTGCAAGGATGGGATTGGGGAAAATATTTTGTTTCCTGTTTATAGTCTGTTTCAGTTCCCATTGCACTGTAGGTGAATGTGTAGTGCCAAAGGACTTAAAAGTGCTAGGTCTGGTGGGCTTTCTTGCTCATTTAATACTAAACTCTGAAAGTGATGTCCCTCCAACATGCTTTGTCCTACAGACTGTGTAGATGAAGGAACACAGCTCTATAGAGTCAAGGCATATGATTGATAACAAGGAGAGGCTATTTGTTTTACCCTCTGGTCTACCCTCTGGGGTCAAGAATAGCGTATGGCTGTCTCTCCATTTGATTTGGCAGCATTGAAACTTTGGATATTTGTCAGAACTCCTGGTTCTGGATCTAGTACTGCCTTGCGATATTGTCCCATTTTTAATAATAGAATTTTTTGTTGCACAGTAGCGCTTTAACTCTTTTAGTATCAGAGTTATACTTTTAGCACCTATCTGTGATGGTAACCTGAACAATTTCCTGCTTAAAACAGTTCCTTATGAAAATAAATGTCTTGTAGTTGACTAGTGAAATAACGTTCATATCTATATATTAGTGGTTTCTTGGCACATGACTGGAAATAAAGGAGTGTTTTGTATTTGGGCTGTAATCTTTGTAAATTGCCATTTAGAATTATCGATAGCAAAAGAATTCTCTATAAATTTAGGTTTAAGACTTCAGAAGAAAAAAGAAGGATTTTGGAAAGTATTGTGAAATCACAATCTAAATGCATAATGTATTTCTGAGTGACAACTTGCAAGTGTGGCTGGAAATCAGTCCAACAGATTTTTGGTAGCGTATATCCACATGTACCATAGAATCATAGAATCAAAGAGTTGGAAGAGACCTCATGGGCCATCCAGTCCAACCCCCTTCCAAGAAGCAGGAATATTGCATTCAAATCACCCCTGACAGATGGTTTGACAGAATTTGAAGTGAAAAAAATATTGGAGAAGAATCCAATTTCACCCTAGAATGCATAATATTACTGAAAACTTACCATTTGGTTTTCAAACATGTGGCCAATGTGAGATTTAACTATAGTATGGCATTTTCTGAACTCTCTGCTTATGGTTCATATCCTTTTGTATTGTCTTATTTGACAGGGCATTAAATACACTTAGCCAATATCGTTCTGGTCCAGCATCTGGCCTGATTGATGTCCTCTTCTGTGCATCTGAGCCCAGTGATCTCAATAATACAAGTAAGACTATTTTCTTTGTTGGATATGGATATAGTGGTGAACGTTTTGGTGGTGAATAAATCATTGCAATTCTGTGATATACAAATAAATTGCACTAGCAATTTGTGAAAGTCTCTAGGCCCTTCCAGACAGGCCCTATACCCCAGGACCCAATTTCAGGTTTTCTGTTTATCCCAGATTATCTGGCAGTGCGGACTCATATAATCCAGTTTAAAGCAGAAAACCTGGGATCAGATCCTGGGATATAGGGTCTGTCTAGAAGGGCCCTTAGTCAAAGCATAGAAAGCAGAGTTGGGTTGTGCTTCTTTTAAGTTTTCCTGGGACAGAGTAAGCTTTTGTCTTTCACTCAGAGAAGAGGGTGGTTTCTTATTTGATAATTAGTTGAATTACAGTACTTAAATCATAGATTAGTCAACCTTGGATTTTGGGTGTTGATTTTTTGACTGAAATTTCTAGACTTATGTATATAGGGTAAGTTCATTTCCTCCATGCACTTTCTGGACAAAGTGTTGCCTTCTAAATCAAAATACAGCTATAATAGAACTTCATCACACTAGAGAATGAATCCGCATCTGATTCTTCAGGTTACAATTAATGTATTGCAGGTGCATTCTCTTATTGTGTGAACTAAATGAGGCAGTTGTTTCCACAATAATAACTGGGCAGAAAAGATCATGGCCATGGACTATCACTTTTCTACTGAGCTATTTAGTTCATAATTGGTAGTCTTATGCAGCCACTGAAGAAAGTCGGTATGTGCTTTCTGAAACAAATATTTTCACGAGAGGCATTAGTTAATGTTCGTAAGGACCAGTCATCTTTGTAGAATGCTTGTAGGGTTATTTCATTTGGAATGTAGGTAGGACAGGATGTCACATTAAGCAAACACAGAGAGGACTCATTCAACAGTGAGAAAGTGAGTCCTAGCCTTGTCAGTTTCGAACACATCATTCCTGAAAACCACTAGAGGTCAGTATTTTGCTATGATTATCATTCTATGTAGCTATTTTTTGTTTTGTTCTCATCTCTTAAGAGGTGCTTTCAGTTCATTTTGTGAAATAAGCCATATTCGTCCGTGTTAAGCTATGGGAGGGCCTGCATTTATTTTACTTTTCCAGTCTGCCAAATGGACAGGCAACAAATTACTAACTAGGGACAAGCACTGCTCTGGGGACCACTACTTTGAGAAGCACTGACCTATATGAAAACTTCATATCTACATATCTGGGCAACATATGCGAAAGTCTTGGTGCTATCAAATAGGCCCGAGAAGCAGCAAACCATCCAGAGGCCATGCACCCCCTTTGGCTATTCGTTTTACCTTCTGGCCTACTGCCAAAGCTTAGTGAGTCTACTATTAAACATGGCTTTGGAGGAATCTAATATGTATCTTTGAGCAAAATATCTGGGGTTTGGTGGTACAAATGAGGGCAGTATATTTCCAGCATCAGTTATCTGACGATGTTGTTTCTGTGGATGGAGAAATTAAGGTACTCCTCAACCCTCCAGAATTCCCCATTCTTGCTTCAGTGCAGACAATTTTGTAGTTTTTTCCCCCTGTTGCTATTGTTCTTCTGATTTACTTCACAAAGAAAACCACTGAATGTCTGAGCTGCTGCTCTGTGGATGCTTTGCAGATGGACCTATCCTATACGCATTCTACTTCTTTCCACTCAGGCTCCATGGTTCAGTGTCAAATCTTTGTCAAAGTGCTGGTGTGAGCCCTCCCTGCTGCTTCAGGTTGCACTGTTGAGCCAGTAACACCCAGCAAGTAGATTTAACCCATATCCAGTAGCAGTACTTAAGTGTGGCCCATTTGCCCTGTAGACACAGCAGAAGCAGCACTGATCACTCACTAGCCATATCATCCCCTATTAGCCTTAGGTTTATGTTTGCACTTGAAAGCAGAACTGCAAGCCAATTACTTAGGTAACTTCTCTAACACTGGGTATATTTGATGTATTTGAATAAAACATTGTCCCCGGTGATTTACAATAAAATCTGTCTTTGCCTTCTTCATGTGATAGACTTGTATATTATTGTTACTATATTGCTAGATAATGCCAAATTTTGGGCTTCAAGTTGTTTCTGACTTATAGCAACCCTAATCTTTATCATTGAAATTCTTCCCATAAGGGATAGCTGTAGCCCCTTCCATTTATGCAAGTCTTTTTAACATCTTCCTATATTGTATCATAATTGTTCTTAAACAACATAGAGTGTTTAGTAGAAATATTAATAACCAGATATTTATTTTTTGTACAACTTGGAAACCCAGTTTCTCAGATAAGATTTTCTGTTCTGCTTTTGTCAAATTCCTGGCTGGCATTGTTATTCTCTCCTCATTAGTTTTAAATCCTGACACCTTCTGCTTTGTAAATTTCAAAAAAGCTTTCAGTGGTTCTCAACTTGTGAGTCCCCAGGTGTTTTGGCCTTCAACTCCCAGAAATCCTAACAGCTGGTGAACTGGCTGGGATTTCTGGGAGTTGTAGACCAAAACACCTGGGGACCCACAGGTTGAGAACCACTGCTTTACTTACATTTTAGAATGATTACACGAGGATATCAAATCTGTAAATGCTTCCAACAGATGTAGAATGGAAAACAGTGTGAAGCAAGAGAAAAAGAAACAGACCCTCAGAAAAATACTTTTAAACCTGCATGTAGCACTATCACTAGGATTGGTGTCACCCAGCATAATAGCTCACAGTGTCACTCCCATACCAGATGATACCACAACAGTATAGCTAAAATACCACATGTGCATTGTTTTATTTGTTCAGTTAGACTGTCAAAATAATCCCATAACATTGACAACCCCGTGGCTCCTGCAAAACAACCTAAGAGACTATCCAAATTGGTCATCATAGCAAAAGTGGCCAAAGATAGATGGATTTGGAAACGGCATTAATCTCCAGTTGTTTAGAATGAGAAATTTGTTTGTACTGCAGTTTAGCAGAGATGGCACTGCTGCGCCTTTTGATGTACCGACTCCCTGCAGCTTCATAGGAATCAAACTGTCAATATAGTATGATTCACTAGCCTATTATATGTAGCATTTACCAAGCTAGAGACAAGAATGACAACAACAGCTTCTTATCAACTGCTTATCCCTGCTTAATAATTGCTCCTTATACTTCATTTAAATTCCTCTGGACCTCCGAGCCCAAATGTTTCTGCTTCTTACTGCAGGATCAAACATCTATGGAATGAAAACCAAAGCCATATTCCTCTTATATCTTATCTCTTCTACTGGAACAGATAAAGCTGGCCTTGGGGCATGATGATGAAGATAATTTCTGACACAGACAAAATGCATCCTAAGATGCACATACTATTTTTAGAGAATTCAAGATTTTCTTAAGGATTGGTCACTATTATCATTGTCTTAGGTGGATAATCATATCAGTCCACTGCAGTAATTCAACAGAAGCTTACATCTGGGATAGAGAACCTTTGCCTTAGACCATCTTGCAATAACCCCAGCCTGGCTGGCCAACATTAAAAATTTGTGGAAATTATTGCCTAAAATATCTGGATCCAAAATGTTCTCTGATCTGGTGTTCTTGAAAAATTGACCTTCTCTCCCAAAAGAATGAATTAAACATTCTCTCTCTCTCTCTCTCTCTCGCACGCACACACACACACTCTCACTCTTACACATATATATGAGTCAATATAACTTCTGCAGCTGTGAAGATTTGAGGCTCCAATCTTGCGACTTATCTCCAAAAATGTCTGGAGCCCAGAAACTCTTAAAGGATTAATCTAATAAATTAATGTATTAAGTTTTCTTTAAAGGGGCTACAAACATTAGAATGTGTGCCTTTTTAATGGATCTCTGTGGTCCGTGGAGAAGGTAAGGAGACAATGTATTGGCTACTGGCAGCCTTAAAACAAAGTCATGGTCGCTGGGATTTCTGTGCAGTTTATTTTATTTTGTTTAATCGAATAAATGTTTCACTTCAAAAAAAATCTAATAAGTTTCCAAGCCCAAAAAGCCTTGAGGAGGTGGAAGTGAAACAGGCTAACCCTAAATCCCCTGTCCTGAAAAGTTTCACCATAACTCTGAGGTTTCATCCTATTCATGGATATGTTTTATTGAAGGTAAATTAACAAGGGGGTTCATATATGTATACAATAGGGATTGGGGTGTGCTGGTAAAGCTACAGACATTTTCCAGGGCACCCAAAAGAACTTAAAATTATATAATGTATGTGCTTGTGAAACTGTTGAAGTTTGTACATCTGACAAACTGGTCAGGAGTCCAGCTGGGAGGGAATTCCATCAAGGAAACAAATCAAATGGGAAAAGGTCCATCTTTAAGATGCAATTAGGATCAGGCTCCGGGGGAACATCCAGGTGTGACAGAAATATCAGGTGTAAACTGCTCCTCAATGGAATTTATATTCTTCTGTATGCTTTTCATTCAGCTATATATATTTATAAGTATATAAGTAAGGTAAATAATAAATAAAGGTAAATAAATAAATAAATTTACATAAGCCTTCTCATTGTATCAAAGACTGGCCCCTTCTGTGGACTTATATAATCCCATCCTGTACTATTTATATTGCCTCAGACCATTTGCCAAGTTTTGCTCTTTTCCTCCTGGGAGACCCTTCCAAATGGCTCCAGCTTCAAATGGACAAATAACAAGGTTGTTGTAGGTTTTTCGGGCTATATGGTCATGTTCTAGATGTATTCTGTCCTGACGTTTTGCCTGCATTTATGGCAGGCATCCTCAGAGGTTGTGAGGATGCAACCTCTGAGGATGCCTGCCATAGATGCAGGTGAAACGTCAGGAGAGAATGCTTCTAAAACATGGCCATATAACCCAAAACCTACAACACCCAGTGATTCCTGCCATGAAAGCCTTCAACAATACATTGGACTAATAACAGCTCTTAATTTTTCCCACTGCAAAGGAGTCTTTGTCTACCTCTGACATCACAGGGAGTCCACAGCTAATGAAAACTAGAATCCTGGCTTGGCCATTTCTGAACCAATCGGGGAGGGAGCGGGTCTTTTGAATAACTGTCAAAAGGGATAATGTCTTGCATTGTTATGCCTAATTCTTTTTGAGTGCAGACACTGTATCAGACATCCTTTCAGTCCTGAAAGTAAATTAAACCTCTGTTATTGCCTTAAACCTGCTCTATGTTTTGTATGGATGTCAAAGTAGCACGGCATGCCGGGCAATGGATCCACACTACTCATTAAATGGGGCTAAGCTTTGTCATCTCCAGGCCAATTTAACTGAGAATGTTGAGCCTATCTACTATGAAAGTGTTGCTGCTTTGTTTGGGGACCTAATGTCATTGGGAATATTTCAGTAGTAGATTTCTGCCCACAAAGTTTCCTGTGAATTTACAAGGTTAGACAAGCCCCATTTCACCTTCAAATCTTTCTACATGCCCCCCACCCCCACGTGCCCACAATCTTTGAAATGGTGCACCTCAATGCTTTCTGTTTTATGGAATGCCATTAATCTTTCTTTGAAGATCTGGCAACATCTGCTTACACAATGCACATGTTTGATCTCTTAGCAGAGAAGGGGATTTTAACAAATGAAATTTTGAGTGAAATGATGTGGGACTAATGCCTTTCCAGAATACTGCCTGGCACAGCACATTCACTTTCTGTTCCAACACAGACTCATATAATGATACCAAATGTCTCTGAAGGCTGAGCCTATTTGCAGCTAAACATAGCTTTTCCATCAAGGAAGCCAGGGCTCAGTGGGGATCTGGGCTCCTCTGGGTATTAACCAGGATGTTTCCTTTCGTGCAAAGGTTATTCTTGCTATCAGATCTGATCTATTTCTAGGGTCAAGCCCTTATGTGTATTGTTGACTTTGCTTTCATGTGTAAATGTTCTTTGCAGGACAAAGAACTAAATGAATGTTCCTCCTACTGTTTCTTGCAGGGCCTCTGAAGTTCTACAATGAATCACTGGATGCCTCCCAGAAGGAGGCTGTTGGCTTCTCCTTGGCACAGAAAGAGCTTGCAATCATCCATGGACCGCCTGGTACTGGCAAAACAACTACTGTGGTTGAGATAATACTCCAAGCTGTGCAGCAAAGCTTGAAAGTGAGTGAGAGAGGCTGCATCTAATACTAGTTGGGAAAAATGGTCTCTTTGTATAGTGCAGGGGTGAGGAAACTGACCAGTGGCTCCAACTATCACTTCTGTGGCCCTTGAAGATCCCTGCCACTTACACACAAATCCTCCAAGATCCCCCCCCCCCTTTTAAAAAAGAACACTAAATGTGGAGTCATTTTCCCTGAAAATCCCCCAAATACATTTCGTAAAATCATTCCCAAGCCCTTCAGAACACCACTTCTTCTCAAATAAGCCCAGTTACCAATAAAATTAAGATCCGGGTGATGCGACATTACTTCAGTCAAGATTTTGAATGACAAATGGAAGGAAACTGATTTCTTTGTGGGGTGTAGAAAATTTACTCCCATTCCCTGCACAACCATCCATACATGCTGTAGCATGTGTATGATATGACAATAGATGTCTAAGAATTTGATATCCATTATGGGGCAGTAATGTAATTCAGGAAGAGAGTGGAGTACGTCCTAAGTTCTGCCCCAGCATTTCTGCTTGAGGCAAGAATTAGAATTAACAGTGATGGGCAAGCATAGAATCCCTTTCTTTGCTAAAGTTTTGTTTATTGCATTTTTTACTGAAGACACACTGTTGAAACCTAACATTTCACTCATCTTTCACTCATCTTTCACAGTTTTCCCAATGCTAACACTGTCAAAATGAATTCCATTTAGATAATGAGGAGGAAAGATTGGGCTTGGTGAGCATAAAAAACCTTTGAAAACGGAGCTTCATTGACAGGGGCTTTATTAACTAAGATATGCTTGTATTTTTATCCAGCCATTTCCCAGGAGTGGAGTTTAAGATGGCTTACAGAATAAGAAGAAATACTAATTAAAGCACATATAGCTAAACACATATGAAAGAATAAATATTAAATAATATTAAATCATGTAGGCTTTAGCACAGCAGGTTAATCACCAGCTGCACGCAGCTGCAGTAAATCTTGCCAACTGAAAAGTTGACAGTTTGAAACTCCTGACCTTCAGCCCAGCTCCCCTGCCCACCTAGCGGATCGAAAACAGCAATGTGAGTAGATGAATAGAAATCGCATTAAGTGGGGAGGTATTTTAGGCATGGCGTTTTGGAGGAAAATTTATGAACAAAGAAAGCTCTTCGGCAAGGAGATGGAGTGACAGCAACCCCCTGTGGCCGGAATCGACCACAGCCTTCGAAAGATGCCAAAAGATAAGAAATAGCCTAAATATATCTGTTGTCTGTCTTGTCATTGTATAATTGACATTGAATGTTTGCTGTATATGTGTTCTGTGATCCGCCCTGAGTCCCCTTTGGGTTGAGAAGGGCGGAATATAAGTAGTGTAAATAAATAAACATATGATAGAATAAAAATCTATAAAATTAAGTTTGAAGCATAGATTTAAAACTATACAACAATAAAAAAAGAAAATCATTGTAGAAAGCAATCGGTTCCCATACAACTGCTGGAATAAAAGGGTCTTCACTTGTCAGATAATATATAGTACTTTAGAAGGCAGAGCTAAGGCAAAGTAGAACTTTATGGCACCTGAGGTCAGGTGGTTGAGTATATAGCAAAAACACATCAGATGAACTGTTCTGCTTTGTGTATTCCTTTGATACAGCCCAAGCAAACATACCCAGTGGTTAGAGGTTATGGTTGGTGCAGCTCCAAAACTGTTGTCTACTCCTATTCTAGGAATTCTGGGTGATAGCAAAACCATGAAACTGTTGGACAAATCTAGAGACCTCTCTCTTATTCTGGAACAATCAGAAATATTTTGTTTCTGTGTACTCCTCATCTAAGCTTTTGGAAGCTTCTAGCCATTGCAGGGAAATAATTAACACTTTAAAAATGTTTCTTTCTAAGGTCTTGTGCTGCTCTCCATCTAACATTGCAGTGGACAACTTGGTAGAAAGACTTGCAAGCCATAAAGCCCGGATTCTTCGCCTTGGTCATCCAGCTCGTCTCTTGGAGTCCATACAGCAACATTCACTTGATGCCATCTTGGCCCATGGGGATAATGCCCAGATTGTGGCAGATATCCGGAAGGATATTGATCAAGCCTTTGTAAGTTTTATGTTCCACATTTTTTTGTTTTTAAATAATTGCCCAGTAGAATATATTGCTAATATTTGCAGTAATTATAGGTGTGTACCTTTAACTTCATGGAGAGATTTACAAGCTGAGCCTGAAAACATATTGAGGGCAGGCAGCTGTGTGATCAGAAGGGTGAGGGGTATAAAAGGAAGGGATGGAGTGACACCAGGAAGATGAGGTTGATTTGAATTTGTTTGTGAAATATCTTGCAATAAATTAACTGGAGTGAATACTTCTAAAGCTCATTGGTGTTTATTGAACTCAGCTGAGCAGTGGAGTGACAGTAAATTATACATGCCACTGCTCTTACAGTCCAGCTACCTAAGGAGGAGGGGAAAACAAAGTGCTACACAGAAATCACCGTCAGTACAACCTTCAAATCCTGGGTTTGTTGGCAAACACCTGCCCCTTATTATTGTATTAGAAAAAATTGTGAGGAGAATTGGATAGTATAGATCTGAAAAATCAAAATCGGAGATACATTATGAAACATTTACAAGTAGGACCAATAGTAAACTGTTGCAGGATGGAGTGCCCCTGTTCAGGGTTTTAGCAAATCTCCTAGCTTTCCACCTCCCTCACTTGTTTTTCCACATATACACATAAGCATCAGATAATATTCCTTGTCCATTGAACAAGGAATGGACAACCCAAGGTGTAGCGACGATAAAGAAGACAGGCAGTCAGGAGGGTGATGGTGATCTCAAAGGTTTATTGACTAGCCAAGCTGTTTATATATCTTTCTTGTGYTCTTTGYAAAGCTTGCATAGTAACAGTGAGTTGGATTACATMATTGKCAGMGTKATTGGYTRGACTCTCAAGGGTGAGSKMATCTGYAGGTAAGGTCAGCAACAGGTGATGTCATCCTKCCTGTCTTYAASGGKAGTGKCCATAYRTGRTCAGKTGGTTAGGAACAGTGTATGCATCTGGGGAGGGCGGCCTRCYWYCAGTCCCAGGTCATGATGCYCCYTGYATCMCYTWGCCARAAWGGTGTGRARCATAAGTGTCAGAGGACTGGAATCTGCCATGTTTCCCTGGAGGTATGGTTTGCCAGTCCCCCCTGGTGGTACATTGCCATTCCTGCACCTCTGCACCAGGGACACAATGGTGTCTCTCCTGCACAAGGGACACTAATAATGATAATGTCCCTTCACCAAGGTTGCTTTTTCCCTTTTTTCTCAACTTTGGATTTCCCCAATGATTCTCTCAATGTGCTTAGTTTGCACTAAAGAGCAGCATGCTCAGAGCAAGGTCATAATAGAGACAAAGCTCTGTACTGATGTGCCTGTAGTTGCCCCAGGCCTGTCCTCTGAGGCCCCCTGTCCTTAGTGATGTTTAATTAATTTTATAATTCACACAAAGCAACTAGTCTTGGCTAGATGAATTGCACATTTTGGCTGCCATCCACCTGTCCCCTTCTTTGCTTTTTCCAGATCCAGAGTGTTTAGAACAAAGACACGAAAAGTGGCACAGTGGCTAGAGGCTGGTGTTCTGCCTATCTCTCTGCTCAGCCAGCTAGGACAAACTATTGCTTTTCTAAAATGAAGGGATATGGACTTTTCTCTGTGGAAAAAATGGCTTACTAGACTGGCATTGGGAGGAGAAGGGACTTGAGGGGAAATCAGGCTAAGGAGGAGGCGGTTCTTGAGGCTGTATATCTTGTGTGTGTAGTTTTGCCCGTTACTCTGTTTTGGGTGGGATTGGGAGTTAATTTTGCCAGAGTGTGTTCCTTTTTTTGCAGGTCTTCTCTTTGTTCTTGTTTTTCTTAGTGCATTATTGCTTTTCCTTGTCTGACATGATTCTATTGCACTTTGCAGAGGCAAATGCATTGTTTAGCATCTCATCCAACCTTTGCCATGTCCTCATTTTCATGGGGAAAATTCTTGTCTTTTGTGAATAGGAAGGCATTTTTCACTTTGCTAACCTTTGTAGCAGCCAATTTGTTGTGGTTGCATGCACATGCCAGTTTCTCAGGTTTCTGAATGACACCAAAGCTCTAAAATGTTGAAGATCCCTATGATATTGAATACAACACTGCAATGATTCTGGAAAACATCCTGTGATCATGGGAGGAAGTTTTCTTTATTATGTACTTGCTTAGGTACCTGACAATGTCTGGATTAGGTAATTTGGTAAGGATTCACAGTAGAAAAGTCATTGTTCGGGGATTTAATGACTGGTCCCATTAGAAAATGCATAAGGATATTGGTTGGCTGCAAGTCCCATCATCCTCTGTCATTTTCCACTGAACTCCCCCAGTATTTAAAGTAGGTTTTTTTTGGGGGGGGGGGTTGTTTGCCAAGTTTGGTCCAGATCCATTGTCGGTGGGGTTCACAGTTGACTTTGGATGTGGTGTAGGTATTGCAATTCCCATTGTCCAGGGTCTGCTCCCACCCACAAATAACCCAGCAAGACTTAAAGTTGGTATGGTAGGTCTGTGTGGCAGGCTTTGTCCAGATTCGTTATTTGCGGGGTGGGGGGTGGGGTTGCAGTGGCCTCTGGATGTGGGTGAAGGTACTGCAACTCCCAACATCCTCTGCCGTTGTTCCACAGGACTTAAAGTGTGTTATTGGGGGGGGGGGGGTCTGTGTACCAAGTGTGATTTAGATCCATTGTTGATGAAGTTCACAGTGGTCTCAGGATGTGAGTGTAGGTACTGCAACTCCACATTTAGTGCTTTTTAAATTCCCCATTTACTTCTGCAGATGCTAATAAATCAAAGTTACAGTTAAACATAAATCCAAGTATTATATTGATAACATTATCATTATAATGATTATTGTTATTGATATTATTATCATCACTATTATTAGCTTTATTCACCTTTTCCCTAACCAGGGAAAAGCCCATTGGAATAATTATAATAAAGCATCTTTACTTTCTGATTGAAAGAAAGCAAAAGAAGCAGGCCATTTTCACCTTCTTAGGTACTTCTAGAGCAGAGAGCAGCCACTAACTATATAGACACCATAAGACAATTTTGCCATTTTTACATTATACCAGTAATGTTATAGGATCAAATGGATGGCCAAATAATGCAGTATACTAATTGTATAAATAGATTTGTTACACATTCCCCTCTTTCATCTTGTTTGTTTAGCAAAATCAGTAAGCAGGGGCTTGGAGTTCTTTGTCATTCTATTTATTTAATTTCCTCTCTTAAACTTAATTTAAAATGTGGCACTAATTTAATTGGGATAACATATTTTAATGCATTTTTTTTCTTTTTCAAGGATGCTATACAAAAATGGCTTCAAAATTGCATTAATGTCCTGTGCCAGGAAGCTGCCCATGATCATGCAAAGGCAGGCCTGAGATGGATGCCAGGGCACAGCACACACTGTGACCCCCTTCCTTGTACCCATTTGAGCCACATTCATTTAGGAGGAAATGACGGTACATCACTGTACTTTTCTCCTTTTCAGAACTACACAATATTTTTATTATTATTTATCATTTTATATTATCATTTAATTTACAAAGTAATTTTAGGTATTCTTGTACTTGCTATCACCTTACACAAATAAATGCATTAGTAGATTGCTGTTCCCAATTTCATGGATGATAAGATATGACTAGGTGATAGTGACCTCCCCAGTGCCACATTGTAGCAGTTTTGGAACATGAACTGCTTTAATTACATGTATGCACGCTTAGTTTTCTAGTGAACATCCTGGCTCTTACTGAACACTTATTTTTTAATTTTGTAATATCCCCCCAACCTAGTTAGCAACTAACTTTTCTTGATAGGAACTTAACAGCAAGAGATGGAAGATGACAAAATCCCCTGCTTTCTCATTATCACAGATATTGTTCTTAATCCACAATCCTCTGGCTTTTTGGGTTGATAACTGAAGTCAGATTATATACTTTAATAGGGTGGGAAGAGGAGGGATTTTGGCTCCACTCACTAGTTGCTGATATCTGCTCAAATAAAATACCGATTTGAGGCAATAATTTTTTGGTATTGTGTGTGGAGGGGGTGTAAATAGAATTTGGCTTGATCGGGAAAAGTTCAGTCACAAACACTGCTAAAGCAGTTTGAATATTGAACTATTTTAATGCAAGGTTGGTGAATTTTTTTTGAACAAGTGAGACTTGCAACCAGCCAAGAGTGGGCCTATTTGGATTGTTTTTCCCTTTGGATTTCCATCCCCTGGTGTCTTTCACTGGTGCTTCCAAGCAGTTGTGGCCCAGCTCACAGCATTATCCATTTTTAATTCTGTTGCATGATTGTACCAATTTGTTCATCCTTTTTTTTTTTTACCAGAAAGTTCTGTTTAAAAGGAAATGTAGAATAGTTCTACAATGCTTTTTGACTGGCAGTGCCAGGAATTGCCCACATTCAGTAGTTGAACATCGTTCCAATGCCCACTGAGCATGCTAAGTCCTCATGAAAGGTTGTTTGAGATTTCTTCTCCTTTACATTTCTTTTAACTCAATTTTTGTACTTCTACAGGTCATGGAATTCCTCCTTGTGTGGATTGTGCAAACTTAACTACAGAAATAATGGCATGTTCAATATTGAGACAACAGTTAACTTTTGGATGTCTCTTTTTACAGTTAGTTAGTTTATTTATTTATTTATTTATTTACTTTGCTTGTATACCGCAGTTTCTCAGCCTAACAGGCGACTCAACGCGGTTTACAACAAGGGTAAAACAATACACGATATACAATTTAAAATCATCAAAGCGTGATACACAATATTAACACTACAATAACGATCCAATGCATCTCATGACTAAAGTCGTGATCCAGTTTCGTCGTCCATATTACCATTCCTGTAATCGTTAAGGGAATATAACTTTATAATGAGGGTTGCTTTGGTAGAAATATCTTCTCTGAAGGGTTCTTGGTGTTGCAAAGGAGGTGAGCAAAATGGATAGATCAATTTAGTTCAATCTGTTCTGGTATGAAAGTCAATTCACGCCGCCATATGTGGTCCAAGCTTCTTTTATTAGTTTTAT